GCCCACGCCGCGGGCCAGCTGGGCTTGGAGCGCGCGCCCGCGCTGGGCGGCAGCTTCGCGGGGCTCGAGCCCTTGGGGCTCCTCTGGGCCCTGGAGCCCGAGAAACCCTTGCTGCGGCTGGTGAAGCGGGACGTGCAGACGCCCTTCGCCGTGGAGCTGGAGGTGCTCGACGGCCACGAGCCTGAGGGCGGGCGGCTGCTGGGCCGGGCGGTGCACGAGCGCGACTTTCTGGGGCGCGGGGTGCGGCGGGGGCCGGTGCGCGCGGGCCGGGTGCGCGCCACGCTCTTCCTGCCGCCAGGTGAGCCAGCTGTTTCCCAGGCTGTTCTGGAGAGCCGGGTGGAGTCCTGAGACCCTGGGTGGCCCCTTGCCAGGCCAGAGAACCACGTGGTTGTGAAACTTCCGTAAACTGGTCACCGCACTCTAGAGTCTATCATGGATTCCGGGGGAAGTGTTGCCTCTTTAAGTTTGTACTGTCTGTAGGCACTGTCACTCCCTTAGCTGTATGCTAAAAGTGCATTTATTGAGAGCCGCTCTGTGCCAGCCACGTGGCTGTTTCATATACCGATATTAGGTAATGACTTATGCTGGTGTGCAAGAGTGATTTTTGCCACCTTTCGGATCAAATTTCGAAGGAGGCTAAAACCCAGAGACAGAGGCAATGCCCCATAATCCTAAAAAACAAACAAAAAACTCTGATGGTCCTCTCTCCCTATCATAAACAATCTGTCAGTGGTTCTCAACCTGGGATGATTTTCCCCCACTCCAGGGGACATTTGGTAATATCTGGATACCTTTTTGGTTGTCACCTCGGGGAGAGGTGGGGGGTGGGGGGCCTGCTGTGGTGCTATTGGCATCTAGTGAGTAGAGGCCATAGATGCTGCTAAACATCACAATAAACAGGACAGCCCCCACAACAAAGAAATATCTTACTCAAATGTCTGTAGTGCTGAGGTTGAGAAACCCTAGTCTAAGTAAAAACAAGGTGCTTTGCTAGGTAAAAGTGGCCTGGAAACAAGACCCCTGACCCACCCCTTCCAACCAAATTCCTGACCGAAACCTCTACTATATAGAAATGCTGGAGTTGCCACAGCTCACAGAATCCTAAACTGAATTCTGTGTTTATTCTCCAAAACAAGAGGCTCTGCTTTATTCTTACAGTTCTGCAATTCACAACCTTAACTAGTGGATGCCCACTCAACTGTGAACTCCTGGGGCTGGAATTGGGTCTTAGCCATTTCTATATTCCTAGAGGTTTGCACAGGGATAGAGTGGGAGCTCAGTAAATCATATTGACTGATTCAATAAGAATCTCCAAAAGCCTTTTTTAAAAAAAAATCTTTCACCACCCAGTCATGGTATCTGATATTCCAGTCGAGTCAATCTTGTGTTAACTATTTCAGTGTCTACTATGTGGCCCATTTAAAATTCATTGTTTTCTATCTCAAAGGCTCTTGTAAATAATGTAGAAGAGTTCAGTCATTTAATATATATGTATTAAGTCAAGGACTATGATATATACTGAGATGCAGTAGCTAGCAAAGTCAGACATGGGCCTCACTATACACAGCCTAATAGAGGATACAGGCAACTATACTGGCACCTATCAGTGTTTTAAGTGCTATGTCCTGGGAAGTACAGCCCCAGGGTGCTGATGGGAACATACAAAAGACTAAGGCAACTCAGCCTTGGCGGGGATCTGGGAAGGCTTCCAGGAAGGCAGATCTAAACGTAGATTTAAAGACTGACAGTCAACCAGGTCAATAAAGGTGCAGAGAGGAGGAGAACAGTGTATACCATTTTCAGGGGCCAAAGAGAACATGGCACATTTAGGGATGGTGTTCTTTAAGGCTGCAGCAGAGGGTATAAGAAGGTGGAGAGTATATTCTAATAATCCTCTATATATGTAGAGCGCTTTACAGCTCTCAAAGCATTCTCAAAAAATTTTTTGTGGAAAATGTACATCTCATCATCATATGTTATTTCTAATTTGGTTTATTTATATTATTTTTTTTCTGAAAATATATGAAAAATTCTGGAGAAAATAAGGCATTTTGTTCCCTCTCCCTTCCCCTCAAATGTCGTTAAAAAAAAAAAAGGCAGAGTAAAAAGGGTCCTTCTTCCACCAAACCTCCCCCGCCCCCCGCCCCACTCCCAGCCTTCCTTGCTTCAGAAACTTCTCTTTGCTGACTGCCGAAATCTGAAACCCAAGAATGTCTTTTGAAAGTCTAAATCTCCTTATGATTTGTGGTGCTCTCCAGGCACAGGGCCCTTCCCTGGGATCATCGATGTGTTTGGAAGTGGTGGTGGCCTTTGTGAATACAGGGCCAGCCTCCTGGCCAGACATGGTTTTGCTGTGCTTGCTCTCACGTATTTCAGATTTGAAAACCTCCCTGAATATTTGAATGATGTGCACCTGGAGTACTTTGAAGAAGCCATAGACTTCATGCTGCAGCATCCAAAGGTGGGTTCTGGTACTCGCCTGAATGCAGAGGGAGGGGGTAAAGTGGACAGAGGGCTGGATCTCAAAGCCCTATCAGGACACCAGTATGTCTGGAAGTATGCCATGAGACACAAAGGCTCCTTCAAGAGTTACTAGTATTATTATTTTCATTTCTACCCATCTCTCTCCAATCTCTTAAGACTCAACTGTTTGGTTTCTTTTAATTCTAGACCATAATTCAAAGAGCTGGACTAAAAAGTTACTAACCTTAAGTTGTGGTTCTGCATCTACCACCAAGTGGCCTTATAATCCTCAATAAGGCAATTGTTCTGAGACTCGATTTTTCTCATTTATAAGATTAATGTAAATGCATACAGGGAAAAGTTTGACTATAAAGAGACATTTTTGAGACAATTGGTGACATTTGAAAGGGGACTGTATATTTGATGATATTAAGGAATCGTTATTAATTTTGTTAAGTGTGATAATGGTATTGTGGTTTTGCAGAGAAAGTTCTTAACTGAGACTGTAAAAAATTAATTAAAACATTTTGGTATGATTATAAGTGGAATACATACTCTTTGCTCCTATCTAGACTTAAAAAGACCCAAACATTCTAATGTTAAGGAGTAAGATGTTCTGCAAGGTCTGTAGGATCATCTAACTCTGTTAGAATTCAGGGACTGGTCTCTTAGCAGAGCTGCTAAAACCTAGATAATCTTGAACTATGATGATTGGTTTATTTAGGGGAGATAAGGCCCCGGGAAAAAGAAAATACCAGTATATACTATCAGTTCTGCCCTTAGACCTAGGCAAGAAGGGCTTCTGCCCTGGACCTTTTGTTTTAGGTGGCCACACTCTGGCCCTCCTTTGGCTGCATCTCTGCCCACAGGGTGAGGAGTCCGAGGGACCAAGGGAATGTGTCCACCTAGAACCCATGTGCCCCTCAACCATGCCCTTGGGATCTGGAACCCCAGAATTCTCTGCTGAATAGCACTGATCTTGCTTCCAGGCCCTAAGCCTCTTCTCTGGGTCCACCAGTGTGAATACACCTAGGCCTTAAACATATAGTCAGTGTCCACACACATATGTGAGAGTCCTCTCAAGGTGCATGATGGAGCAAGAGATGGTAAGAGAAAGAGGTGGGCTAGGGACCAGGGACTGGAACCAGGGGCTAGCTCTCCCCATGCCATGTTCCAAGGAGTTCCAGGATTTTAAATTTGAGCCTGACCTTATAAATTGTTATGGAGGTATATTTATCAAGGTAGGAGAAAAGAATATATTTTATTTAACAGTTTGTTCGTTTGATTTATAACTTTTAAAAATTTAGGTATAGGGTATATGGGCCTCTGTGTGTACTCTTGACTCAGGCCATAAATATTAGTGGAGGGCCTGTGTACTATGATATCAATTGATTTGCTTATTAGAAGACATACTTGAACTTTGTAGATTGTTGCATAAGGAAGGAAAGCAAATGATATTTGAGAAAGCTACCTAAATAATGTAAAATCTTCATGTATATCCTCCATTTATGAATTCTAGGCTTGTTTTCTCTCTCTCTTTCCATCAGGTGAAAGGCCCTAGTGTTGGGCTTCTTGGCTTCTCCAAAGGAGGTAACCTGTGTCTCTCAATGGCCTCTTTCTTGAAGGGCATCACAGCCACTGTCCTTATCAATGCCTGTGTGGCCAACATGATAGCTCCTCTGCGTTACAAGGATAAGATTATTCCTAATCTCGGCAATGACCCAGGGAAACATGCGATCACTGAGTCAGGCCTTTTGAATTTCATGGATATTTGGAACAATCCACTGGAGGAACCCAACCACCAAAGTCTTATTCCATTGGAAAAGGCCCAAGGGCCCTTCCTGCTTACTGTTGGCATGGATGATCATAACTGGAAGAGTGAATTCTATGCTCATATAGCCTCTGAACGGTTACAAGCCCATGGGAAAGACAGGCCCCAGATAATCTACTATCTAGGTACTGGTCACTATATTGACCCAGCTTATTTTCCTCTTTGTAGAGCCTTTGTGCATGCATTGTTGGGCCAAGCAATATTCTCTGGAGGTGAGCCAAAGGCTCACGCAAGGGCACGGTAGATGCCTGGCAGCAAATTCAAACTTTCTTCCATAAACATCTCAATGGTAAAAAACCTGTCAAGCCCAGCAAAATATAACATTGTAATCATAGACCAGATACTACTAACGAAAATCCTATTCATACAAATATTAGGTTTTCGAGAGCACCTGGCAAACTTTTTGTAACAAAGCAACCATCTTGGCTTCCTTGTCAGGTCCTACTGGAATGAATCCTACTGGATTCTCATTCTTTGCAACCCTCATTTCTTCATTGCTGGGTCCACCCCTGTCTCCCCTGAACTTTACCCAATGTATAGGCTTAACCCTGATCTTCTCTGTAGGACCAAGCTTAACTTTAAGCAGAAGAAATGAAAGAAGTGCCTGCCCAACTCTCAATTGCTAGCCTGGCTTTGGCCTTGTGTTCTGGTTCTGAAAGCTGAGCTTCTGTATTGCTAGGGCTCCCAGATCCCCTTTGGGCCCTTAATGACCATGTCTGAGCCTTGGGAACCTGCCTACTCGAGTCTCTTAAGGAGTAGACTCTGCTTCATTCTTGCCAATACACATTCCTGAACGTGTACTCAGGATTTGTCTCTGAACCCCACTCTGAAGATTGGGGACATTGATATACCATTTAGTATACTAAGCTTTGCTTTTATTTTATGAACGAGGCCCTAGACCTCAATTTCTTCCTTACTGATAAAGTATCTGTTACAAATTTTGAATTTGTAACAGATACTTTACAAAATAAAGTTGAATCCTTTACGACAAAATTTGTTGTGAGCAAAACAGTATATTGATAAATATTGTTGATATATGTCCTCTATATTTACCATCTGTCTGAATTCTCAGTCTCAGTACTTGCCTGCCTAGGGGAACACCTTGATGCCAACTGATTTTCGGGACTATACCCTGTGGGCCACTGCCTTAATCTTTGGATGTCATGTTATACCTGCCAAATCAGAGTTCCTCCCAACACCATCTGCTCCTATTCCCTTCCTACTGGGAAGGATTGGGGTCAGTCTGACTCAACCCATTGCGATGTACTGGGCACTATCTAGAGTCATAAGAGACCAGAGCAGAAGGTCTTCCCTAAGCGCAAGAAGATGTTTCTGAGACACATGACATAGTTTGCTGGGCACATACAAAATCTTTCACCAATTTGAGTCTATCCAAGCAAATCCTCATTAGATCTTAACTAATGAAAAGAAGGATTCCTTAGAGGTAACTTAATTTTGACCAACTGTTAAAAATACGTGTCAAGTGTAGTTATTCACTATGTAGTATAATTTCCTGTGATGTGAATTCTTGGAGCCTCTCTTTAACTCACTTCCAGGTGGTCCTGCTACCCTAGAGATGCCTGTGGGATGGGGGGGTCACAGGAAGAAGTTGTAAGGAAAGTGGCTGGGAGGGTGAGAGAAGAGGGCCAAAAGGTGGCACCAGAAGCTAAGCATGAGGATGACAACTAAACATCTCTGTGTACTAAAGCACTAGGTCTCAATTTCTTCCTTACTAATAAAATAGCCTAGAAATGCCCTGCACTGACTAATATTTGGTCACTTTCCCCTCAAAGTTGACTATATGTAGCCACCTGTCTCTAAGATTTCAAAAAGAATTTCAGGTTGTTACAAAGCTACCTAAAATATGGTAAAGGTGAATTAGAAGGGAGAAAGAGAAAAAGTTTCCATAAAATGGAGCCAGAAATGAGGCAAATACAATAGTGCTTATTACGCAGGCATATATACTTGCCTTGATTGGGCCACTCATTCAGTCATACGTTTTCTAGTGGTTTATGCAAAGGAGTAAACCCAATCAGTTACACAAAATTTACAGCATTCATAAAATAAAAGCAAAGCTTAAAAATCTATTTCTCCCACTAAGAAACATTAAATGATGTAAAGGGTAGTGTATCCTCAAGGATGTGTCTACAGTAGATGTAAATCCCAGCCTCCACCACTTACTGTGTGACCTCGGGTAAGTTATTAACCTCTCTATGCCTTTACTTCCTCATCTATAAAGCGGGGATAATAATAATAGTGATAATAGAAACTACCTCATTGCGCTGTTGTGATTAAATTAGATAATCCAAGTAAAGCACTTACCATATTTAAACTCTCAAATATTAGCTCTTATTATTTCAGATGAGGAAACTGAGACCCAGGAAGGTTAAGAAATACACCTGGTTGATGGGAGAACTGGGTCAGTCCAAACTCCGAAGCCTATGGCCTTCATTGACCATTTGGCTCTACTGCCTTCCAGCCTGAGGAGACATGCTCGAATAGTGCAGAGCTGCCTGATGAGGATTACTGGAAAGTTAAGGGTAGGTTAGGGTCACGTAACGGAGGCTCCATAAGCCAAATTGGAGAGTTCAGATTTAAAATGATAAGAAATAAGAAACTATTTTTAACATATTGCTTTTTTTTAAGTGGCTGTCAATTTTTCCTTCAAGCTTAGTGGCTCAAAGCAGTTAAAGCCTAAAAAAAATTTAATTGGAGACATTTTTAAAAAGAAAACAACAAAAAATCAGAAAATATAACCAATTCAGCCCATTGTTCTGCTTTTCTTTGTCCACCTAATAACCTTGAACGTACTTCCAACAGGGTGAGAAAGGCCAATAGACAATTTTGAAAGCAAGTAGATGTTTTTGTCAACCACTGATCATTTAAAAAATATTTGTATAAATCTGTTACCTATTTCACCAGCTGAAAACACAAAGACTTCTTAATTATTTCAAAGTATAACTAAGCTATTATGTACATTCATTTCAAATGGTCTTTGAACACTGGGAAGATAAAAGCTTATGGAAGGCAGTCTGTTTTTTCAAGTGGTAACAGGCAGATATGCACAAAATCCAATATTCACGGCCACTATAATGATGGATTTGGGGGCAGAAGTCAAAATTACTTCAGTTGTTTTTCTAAAACTGGGGGTTAGCCGTATATGTATCTCCTCCAAAGACAGAGGGACTTTAACAAGTACTTTTCAAAGAAAACAAGATTGTTAAAAGGCTCTAAATCAGAAATTCTTGGTCTAGTGAGTATATCTTTTCAGTGGCAAATATTTTTGATTCATAAATCAGGATGCATGACAATTATGATTTTACTTATGGGGTAAGTGGGATAAGATATTTGAAAATGAGATTGTTTTAAAAAAAATTCAAGATTTATATATACACCCTTTGACACAGCAGTTTAATGGAATGTTTTCACCTGGGTTAATTAACCTCATTTTACATATGCATTTTAATTAAGATAGAATTCTATAATAGAAAACAAATTTTAAATTATATGTATCAATATATTCTTCATTGTAAAAGATTCAAGTAATACAGATAAAATAAAAGATCTCTTAACTCATTACTCAGTCTCAGTCTTCTCCCAGGGGAATTACTGTTACCAACTTGAAGTGTACCATTCCAGAACTATTTTGTATGCATGTACATGCAAATATTTGTATGAATGAAAAAATTATGGTTTTATTTTGTGAGTTCAATGCCCTTCCTCCTTTTTAAAATAAATAAATGTCATATACTGTAAGCTTTTTTCCTCCATGTAAAAATAAACATTTTTAATACTTGTGCCAGGCCACAGGACAACAGAGATTATTTCCAGCGTATACATCTGCAGTGCTGCCTCATATCAAACGTTTCAACTTTAATCTTGATAGTCTTTCTTAATCCCAGGCAAAAATAATTTCAAAGAAGGACAGGAATTTGGCAGGAGCCTAGTACACGGAGCTCCTAGTACACAGGAGCCTCCTATAACCAGGTTTAGGGAACAGTGTCCCCTGGTGGCCAGTGAGGGATTTTAGAGAAAGCGACCGGCCGGCATTCTCTGTCAGAAATCATTACCTCGCATTCTCGTTACGCCCAGGGGTAGGTTTGGGATGAGCTCCTGCCTGTTTCCGGCGGTCCCACCACCGGACCTCCAAAAGCACGACCGACCCCGGATCCTCCCACGTCGCCCCTTCTTGCAGCCGTTTTCTAAGCGGCGCCCCAGGGACCAGCCCAGGTCCTCTAGTTGGCTGGGCCGCTTTTGCCCCGCCTGGCCACGCCCCTCCCGGCCCCGCCCCGCTCCTGGCCGTCGCCTGCCGTGCGGGGCCCGCCCCTGAGCGCTGACTCGCCAGCCGGCAGGCGCCAGCTCTTGTCTCTGTGGCTGTGGTCAAAGCCTCGAAGGTGCCGGCGCCGTGTGGCGGGCGGCCTGGGCCGCGCTCCGAACCTCCGGGACGCCCCTCCAGGTTCGGAAGTCGATGGCCACTTTGGTCGTCCCTTGTTTCCCAAAAGACTGCGACCCTGACCGTCACGCCCAAGACTGGGCTGGCCGACGAGCTCCTGAATATTAAAGTGGAGGGCTTAGGCCCCAGGGCACGGTGACCCTGCAAGCGTCCGCGGTCAGCTGGCGAGGCCGCCTCTTCCATTCACTCGCCCACCACGAGGCGGGCGGCCGCGGGGGGCGGAACCTGCCAGGGACCGAGCTCTGGGTGGCGACGTCACGGGCGTGGAGCCTCACGCCAGCTGGCTCAGCGGATCGCTGCCTCAGCCAGATGCCGAGGGGCGTGATGAAAAATCCCCTGAAAATGGAGGTGACCGTCCACCACGCGCGCAGCAGCTAGCGGTGCCGCTGGGCCCGACGCTGTCCCCCGCCCAGGTGCAGCGCTGGTTCTCCAGCCCCGAGCTGCTCCGCTGGGCCGCGCTCGCTGCAAGCCCGACGCCTGCGAGGCGCCTTCCTGCTGCCCTCAGGTGCGTGAGGCCTATTCCGCAGAGGACCTTGCAGTGGAATTAGGGAATTGACGTATGAAAGCTGGCTTGCTTTGCTAGCTAATTTGTCATCTGAACACAAAGCGAGCGCCTTAATTCCTTTTTTTTGTTGCCTAGACATCAGGTGGGACATTCACTCCCCTAAGTGGTGGTTGGGATCTAAATTTAATGTGCTTGGGTACCTCTCTTGTGCCAAAAGCCCACCCTCCAAAACCCTAGTGCTGCAGACGCTATTCCTTGCAAGCATACACCTTGCAGGTTTGCTATACTAAGCCTAAAATTGCTGTCAAGTTTCTAGCATTAATGCTGGTTTGCCTATCTCTACTAGACAGAGCTTTGTGTTAATTTAATTTTTCCTGTTATGAATTTCTTGTAAAAATGAGAATAGTGGATACAAATCTATCTTTCCTTGCAATCTGTTCAAGCCCCTAAGTGACTGAAGTCCTATTATATTAGTCCCTCTTTTATACTGGCTTCATATTAGGATAAAGACGACCTTGTTGTTGTCTGACATACTCTAATGCCTTGGAGACCTTCACCTTGATGAGAAAACTGTTTTGTTGCTCATTTCAGAGATCAAAGAACAACTTCTTTTATAAGTGAGGAAACCAGAGGCCTAAGGTGTTTTAACCAAATCACACAGCTAGGTGATGCTAAAATTGGGATGCAGCCAAACTCTTTGAGCTCCAAACTGACCTCCTTTTGGGAACTCCATAAACACAGCCTGAGTGAATGAATCAATTAGTGAAATAATTAGGGCTTTTTATTTTTAAAAGCCCAGTCTGGCTTATCCCCTACTCTCCCCCTCCCTAGGAACAACTAAGAATCTTTTAAATGAGAGAATTAAAACATTTTTGTAGCTGGAGGGAGGGGCATTTTTCTTGGAGATAGCCAATAAGATCCTAGCAAATTTCCATACTGAGAATTAAATTACTGAATTGAAACAAAATAAACAAATTCTCAGTTATTTTAATGTGGTAATCAGGTTAGTATTTTGAAACCTGTGGTTGGAAAACTCTATTGCCAGAGTGATTTGAGGCTCTGTATATCTTTTTCATAGTTTGCTTTAGGCTTTCTGGAACTAATCTTGAATCTAGAAATGCTTGAGATTTATCTGATTTTAAAAAGAGCAGATCAAGATATGCTGAGAGGGCCGGGCCCGTGGCTTAGCGGTTAAGTGTGCACGCTCCGCTGTTGGCGGCCGGGGCCGGGATCCCAGGGGCGCACCAACGCACCGCTTCTCTGGCCATGCTGAGGCCGCGTCCCACATGCAGCAACTAGAAGGATGTGCAGCTATGACATACAACTATCTACTGGGGCTTTGGGGGGAAAAAAATTAATTAATTAATTTAAAAAAACAAACAAAAAAGATATGCTGAGATATCTGAATGTTAAGAAAAGCATCTTGTGAAAATCACTGCCTTAATATGTACACCGCAGCTTTCACTTTGGTAGCTAGATGTGCCCTAACCTGTTTCTAGATTTGAAAACTTGGAAACGGCCTCTCGCACTGGAATTTTGGATCTCTTAGTTTGGTTTCTATCCTAATATTTTCCTCTTATTCTGTTCTTATAGATTTATCTGGCACTTTTAATTGGAATAACACAGAGGCATATATCTGAAAAATAGTAGGAAGCAACTGGCTGAGAAATTTTTCTCTTGAAATGGTGAATGAATAATACAATCTCCAATAGGAATGTTGAAAGAGAAATAACAGACCAACATTGGGAGGATATTTGACATTTTACTGCCTTTCCACATATATTGTTCACTTTATATTACTCCTTCATTAGACTTTTAAAGTAGTCTAAAGTTTGTTTAATTATGGATTTTGGTGACTCTGACTGTATCTTAAGTTCATTGAGAAGTCAAAGGGCCCTTGAAAGTTGGATGTCTTTTTTTTCCATGAGATATTATACTTTTGTTAACTCAAAGCCCACAGAACTATTTGCTTAGATTTATCAGGACTTAGACTTCAAACCAAAACACTTCCCACATCTCTGGTGCTAATTTTCATAATGTTTTCCATTTCCCAGTTATTTTCTCATGGGGAAAAAATATAAAAATATTTTTACATTTACAGCTTCAAGATAGCCCAAACATGTGTCTATTTCAGCCACAACAATAAACTGATTTCAACCAAAACAGATGTTTTCTTTTCAAAGCAAAGAGGCAGATGTTTAAAAAAGAAAGAAGATAAATTACACAATTAGAATTTTCCTTAGAAAATGTTAGCTATCGGGCCGGCCCCGTGGCTTGGTGGTTAAGTGAGCGCGCTCCAGTGCTGGCGACCCGGGTTCGGATCCCGGGCTCGCACCGACGTGCTGCTTCTCCGGCCATGCTGAGACCGCGTCCCACATACAGCAACTAGAAGGATGTGCAGCTATGACATACAACTATCTACTGGGGCTTTGGGGGAAAAAATAAATAAATAAAATCTTTAAAAAAAAAAAAAGAAAATGTTAGCTATCATAGTCCATTTAATGTTCTGTCATCTAATCCAAGATTAATCTCCTTTCTGGTTTACAGGTGGTCCTTTTCCTGGTTTGATTGATATGTTTGGTGATGGAGGGTTAAATGAATCTCGAGCAAATCTCCTGGCCTGTTGAGCTTTTGCTACTCTGGCTTTGCCATTTTTTGGCTATGAAGATCTACCTCCAATCATAAAGGACTTAACATTTAGGTTACTTTGAGGAGGCAGCTAAATTCATGCAAAGTCACCCAAAGGTGAGTGGGATGGTAGGGAGAAATGTGTTTAAAATGAACTCATTAGGGCCAGGAGAGAGTGAATATAGAAAGTGGTACTAATGGGTTGGAAAATATCTGTAACAGATACCTGTTGAATGAACTAATGAATGAATGGATAAATAAGTAAATAAGCTATCTGATTAATACATAAAAGGCTTTTCTTTATTGAGGGCTTTGTGACTCCATTAATAATCATGCCTTCTTTTTCTCTCTCTCTCTCCTTGTTTGTCTTTTTCTTCAATCTCCAGGTCAAAGGTCCAAACATCGGAATGACTGGTTCTGGAAAAGGGGTAGAGTTGGCGTTTTCCATGGCTAGCTTTCTCCCAAATACAGCTGCACTTGTGATCATCAATGGCTGCATCTCTCACACAGCTTCTGCCCTTACACGTACTAGATTAATCCTGCCAGGACTGCCTTTTAACCTAGATAAAATCTCTGCCATCGATTCAGCAGTATACAATGTTAATGAAGCGCTGGAGGACTCCTTGGATCCAGCCTACCAGGAAAACCACATCCCCCTCGAAAAAGCCAGTGCTCATTTCCATTTTATCGTTGGAGAGGACAACAGGCTTTGGAAGAGCTCTGTTTATGCTGACATGGCTGTGAAGCACCTCACAGAGCATGTGAAGCCACCCTAGTTCTGGCCACAGAATAGATCCCCCTTATAGCCCTTTTTTTCTCTGCCATCCTGCAACCCACTTTGGGGGTGCCTGTTTGGGGAAGTGGGCAGCTCAAAGCTCATGCTGTTGCTCAGATTGAGTCTTGGAAGAAGGTCTTGGAGTTTCTGCACATGTATCTGGGGGAAGGCTAACCAGTAAACAGTTAACTGGCTAGAATATGCTCAGAACAAATCAGGGGACAGATTGAATATTTTTGACAAATGACGACTGAGATCTGGACTTCACGTGGGCATCTGCAAGCTTTTAAAAGAAGTAAAAATACTTGCTTCAGGTTCATCAGAGCCTGTAGCTTTGGTACTATCCATGTTTCTCCATGTTTGGTTTGTTTGAGCTTGAACTCAAGGTAATTGCTAAGTGAAAATCAGTTTCAATCTGCCATTTACCCACCCTTCCCTCCCACCCTCCCTGTCACCTTCTGTACTTTCAGAGGTTTTTAAATACTGGTGTATGAAAATTAGTTTGCTGTATCTGTCCCAGAGGTTTCAAAACTGTTTTGAACAGGGGTGAATACATGAATATAGGCCCCTGGTTTTATGAAGAGGAACCATTGGGCTCTGATAACTTTCTATAATGGTCAGAGGGTGGAGTGAATTCTAACAAGATGACCCGGAGGCTAATTTGTGGTCGACTGAAGTCATAGAATCCTTTCTGCTGTTAATCAGATTTTGATTTTTCTCCAGTTGCCACCTGTTCTAGGATCTTTAAGAAAGTTAGAAATCCTAGGACACCTGCTTTAAAAATGGCAACCAATTACTGAGAAACACTTTGATTCTCTACAGTTCCCTTATCTCTATATTTGTAGTTGAAAAAACTTTTCTTCACGCTTTGTTTCAAAAATATATTTAAAAAGAGGCAGATTCCAGATTCTAGTCCTAAGTTGATAATTATACATGTAGACAATGTAATTATCTGAGGGAAAGACAGAGTTCATCTCTTCTACCTTATACTACCTTCACCAAAAATTTAATTACAATTTGTGGATCAGCCTTAACTTACTAAATAATCTTAGCTGAAGTTCTGAGGTTTGATTCTAAACTTTAAAAATATGTGTGGAATTAGAAGGTGTTAAAAGTTCTGGCCCTCATCATAATTTAGTTTGGTTTTTTTTTTCCACATACTTGAAGGGAAAGATTACGGTGATAATTACTAGCCTTTGATTTTGGTTGATCAGTGGATCTTGTGGTCAGAACTATATTTTGGGTTCTTCTTGGCAGAGGATGAAGTGTTGTCACCCTAATTTGTAGTATTAATAGTTTTCTCCCCCTAAATTAACATTATTTTTTAAATTGAACACATTTCAAATTATTAACATCAAAAAGTATGTGTATACATACATACTTTTTATGTGTATTTATATATATATACACAGACACACTACCTCTTGATTTTGGGGTATTCCTGTAAGATTTTTAAAAGAGGTTTATTTTAAAACAGACCAAAAACATGGTAAGGGGAGAAATTGGCTTTTTAGCAAATAACTATAATGAGAATCATAATCTGAGAAATCAACTATTGAAATGTGATACAATGCTCATTCTAATTTGCACTGATAAACCTCTTGACTATACAAATAACCTTAGGAACTAATGACTCTGTTAGGCTTTAAGTTCTTTTTTTTAATTTTATTTTAAGGTATGTAACTTTTAGCTATTTTGCTCAATCTCTAATCATCTGTTAAATGTGACAGTTTTTCTTCTTTTATTAAATCCACATTCTTGTTTAAAAATTAGACATTTCCTAACATATTTGGTTTTCTATCATTTCACACTATTTTACCTATACTTTTCAAAGAGTCTGCTAGATTTTCTGCATTTTGAAAAACTGTTTCAACAATATTTTTAAACTTTTCTCTTAGCTTTCTTTTACCCAGGCCTGCAACAAGAGCAAGTGGACCCAAAGCCATATTCTCTCCTGAACAGATTTGGGAATCTATTTTATCGTTTTGCAGGATTTAAGGATCCAAGTTATATAAATCTCTTTTTTTTTTTTCCTGTGTGAATGTTTTTAACCTTTGAGAATCTGAAACTCAAAATGTACTTGATGGGAAATGTACCAAGATATTGTGAATTTGCAAAGACAAGCAAATTTCTGTTTATATAGCAGTATATATATTTATATATTTATATATAAACTGCTATATAAACAGTTTATACAGTGGTAAATAATTTTATTTACAGATAAATAAAACATATTCATGGTCAAGTTTACTACTGCAATGACAAGGAAGAAGTAGATGTAATGCTCTGAGTAAGCAAAAAGATAAAATTGATTTATTAATGATGTTTCATCATTAATACCAGTTTCTTACTTATGGTGTAATCCATAGTTTTGAGTAAAAGGAACTCTGCTGGGTTATGAGATATGTTTGAGGATTAGATTCCCTTTACAGCCACATCAACAAACCTAGTAGAGATTTTGGCAGGCAAGGAAGAATTCTAGCTCAGAGAGATGTGGAGGTATAGAGATCTTCTGAAAAAACACTACAAGAACAAAAGTTGGATATGTTATGAATATACTTTTTTTGTGTGTGTGAGGAAGATTGGCCCTCAGCTAACATCCTCCTCTACTTTGTATGTGGGATGCAGCCACAGCATGGCTTGATGAGCAGTGCACAGGTCGGAGCCCGGGATCCTGTGAACCCCAGGGCCACCAAAGTGGAGTGCCTGTACTTAACCATATGCCACCAGGCTGGCCCCATGTATACACATTTTTATTTTCTTCAATAAACATTTTACTTTTGCCTATTTTTATAAATGTGATTAAGTTACCTTTTTCAAGATAAAATTTATTTCTTATTTCAAAATTTAAAACATCCACATTATAGAACAATTAGAAGATAAGCAAAATGAACATTCTATTAATCTGCTCAGGTTGCCATAACAAAATACCACAGACTGGATAGCTTAAACAACAGAAATTTGTTTTCTCACGGTTCTGGAGGCTGGAAGTCCAAGATCAAGGTACCAACGGGATTGGTTTTTGATGAGGCCTCTCTCCTTGGCTTGCAGATTACCACCTTTTCCCTGTGTCCTTGCATGGCCTTTCTCCTGTGCTCACCACTCCTGGCATTGTTCCTCTTCTTAAAAGCAAACCAGTCCTTTGGATTAGGGCCCCACTCTTAGGGCCCCATTTAACTATAATTACCTCCTTAAAGGCCCTGTCTCCAAATACAGTCACATTGGGGGTTAGGGCTTCAACCTATGAATTTTGAGGGGGCACAATTCAGTCCGTAAAAAACATTAAACCCTCATAATATCCTTTTAAATATATTACGTATATATGTGTGTGCTATGTATAAATTTTAAGAGTATCATACCAACCATTTTGTTTGGTAACTTCCATTTTAAATTAATATATCATGGCTATCTTTGCATGTGAATAGGTGCTTTCAGCAACACTTTTAATGGAAGTACTATATTATTTCATTGTTTGGATGTTCAAGAATACCAATTCTCTTGTTGACATCGGGTTTTCTTTTTGCTATTAAAACTTTGAACACGTATCTCTGTGCACTTGTCTGATCATTTCTTCAGGATGAAGACCTAGAAGTAGACCTGCAAAAACAAAGTTTTTAAAGCTTTAATACATATTGCCAACAGCCCTCCCGAAAGGCTGTATCAATTATAAACAGCAGTGTATACACGCGTCTACATTTCTCCATACCCCTAGCAACTTGGAGTATTTTCACAATTTTTGGCTAATTTGATGAGGGGGGGGCGACACACACACACACACACACACACCCTCGGTTATGTAACATAAACCCAACCTTTTATGCTTTCAGCCGCCTCTGACTCCCTGCAGGCGCTTGGGGAAGGTAACCGAAGAAGTTCAGCTGAGTTTAGCTCCGGGTAGCCTCAGTCCACGGCCAGGTGAATCACAGCAGGCAGTCAAGAGAAGGACGGGACGGGCAATCTGTAAGGGAAGGGAATTTTTAAAGTTCTTTTATGGGAGAGGCAATCATTACGGGGAGATTTTAAAGTTTTAAACTTTAGGCAGGTACGTCACTCCAGATTAGCTGAAATCGCTTTCGACAGGCAAAAGCACATCTCCTGACCACTCTGCGCACCTAGGCATCCGAGCCAAGCGCATCACCTGCAACCACTGGGAATCTAGCGGCAGCCGGATGGGAGGACCCAGGCGGCCGCCGCGCAGTCCCACAATGCCCCTCTCGCACCACCCAGAGGGAGGAGAGAAAGGACCGCTGCCGGGGTGGGCGTCCGCGGAGAGCTCGGAGAAGTGCGCACGCGCACTGACCCCGCCGGGCCCTAGCAACCAGAGCAGTGACAGTAGCAACGGCCGGAATGGTAAGTACCCTCAGATCCCCGTAGCCAAAGCTGAGAAGATATTGGAAGTGGAAAAGGGTGACTGTGGAGTGTTGAGCGTTGGAGGGTCCTCGAGCAGCGGAAGGGAGCCGGTAGCGGACGCTAGCTCCGCGGAGTCAGAGGCCTGAGGCGAAAGAGAAGCCCTGGCAGGGGGTGGTCTGGGGTGAGGGCGGCCTGGAACGGATTGGAGGTTGGGTTAATGTGGTGGGACTCTGGCGGAGAAAAGGAAGGGCAAAGAGCAGGAAATTCTCCAAAAAAAGCGGATTAGAGTGGGAAAGGTGATGGAAGGCAGAGTGTGAATAAGGATATCTCTTTACATAGAAGTAATCCCCCACTACCACCACCACCCTGGCGAGATGGAGGGGAGCTGGTTATGAGAGGAGTGTAACACCGATACAGCGGTATTCCTAAACTGTAACCTGCCCAGGTGGCCCTCTGAATGACTGTTGAGCGCAGTCATTTAGGTAACATTGTAAAACCCACCCCGATAGAATATATTAGGGTAGTGTTTCTCAAATTTCAGCGTGCATAAATATGACTGCAGTCGCCCTAAGTATGAGCTTGTTGGAATGCACATTATGAATTTTTTAAATGTTAGGGGGTGGGTTCGGGAATGTGCATTTCGACAACGCACCTCAAGTGATTCTAAAATTGAAGGGCGCCCCCCACACACACTTTGAGAAATACTTTGAAATCTATGAGTCTTCTATCCAATCAAAGCTGTTTATGAAGTAATGATTTTACCTAGTGATGCTCCTCAACTGCTACTTAAAGTGTGCACTCTCTTGCTTACATATTTGGTAGTTCCAACTAGTAGTTTGAAAAGGGATGTTGTTGGTTGGTTACAGACCCAGCCAAAGTTATTTAGCAAAGTATGTGATTGTCCTGCCGGGTGGAAATGTTTATGAAGAATAAGTGCATTAGTTGTCTTCTTTTTGTGATTCCAGTGCTGTATAAGTGGGCAGAAATTGAGCCCAGGAAATGGAAATGATGAGGAAGTCATGCCCGCCCTCAACCCGAAGATTAAGTACCACTCTTTAAAAGCAGTCCGTCCTTCCCGTCCCCGTGCCCCCCCACCCCCACCCCGCTTTCCTTACTTTATTCCACAGACATTTAGCTGAAAACCACTGCCAAGGGGAGTAAAAAGTTCTGGAACCTAGGTTTATATCCAGGTGAAGAAAGAATCATCCCTAAATAATTCCGAAAGTATTAACCAAGAGAATTATTAAAAATCTTCAAATAGAGAATCAGAACTAGTAATTAGATGAAGCTAGCTGAGGCTGCAAACTAGTAATTCAGGGGCCCTCCAGAAATACAGGCCCACATAGTGTTTTAATTTTTTAAAAAATTCCAATGTTTTACAAATGATCATGTTTCACACCAAAACCCAGAATTCTGGCTTCTCTGAAAAATCAGAAATACCATATTTCACCATTGGACGCATTTTTTTTTCACATTTTTGTATTACTGAAATATGATGATGTCATATAATTGGCAGCATCTTTTCTTATTGGTATATAAAATTAGGGTGTTACTTTCAATTAATGGAGTTATTATATTTGAAGAAGTGTGATATTAGGGTAACTCTTGTCCCAAGTCCCACCTGCCAACAGTTTTCTAGAGCTGAGTAGAGGTCATCCTCTTTGTATGGCCAGCTTTATCCATTAATGATGTCCATTGGTCCTTTAGGCATTTGAGTTTTTGACTCCTGCTATCTATAGGGGAACTAGTGATCTTATAAACCAATTCTGTATTGCCACAATAGACAGCTAGATTGCTTCCAACTTGAAAGTGTTCTTATATGTGTCTTTTCATGGACCCATGCAAGGGTTTCTCTGGGAAATATACCCAGGAGTGGGATTTCGGAGTCATAGAGTTTATGCATACTTAATTTCTCTAGGCACTGTCAGACTGCTTTCCAGAATGGCTGGTTTTTACTTCCTTCAGTAATGCATGCGAGTTCCCATTTCTCTACATTCTCACCACCTTTCCAGTTTTTGCCAGTCTGAGGATGTATTTTAGTATCCCATTGTTTTACTTTGCATTTCTCTGATTTTCAGTGAGTTGGAACACCTCATGATATTCTTGTTGGTCATCTGGATTTCAGTTTCTGTGAATTTTCTTGATTATAGTTTTTGCCAACTTTTCCGTTTTTCTTTTTGTTTTTGAATTTTAGGAGTTCCTTGTATGTTTTATTTATTTATTTTTTTTAAAGATTTTATTTATTTATTTATTTTCCCCCCAAAGCCCCAGTAGATAGTTGTATGTCACAGCTGCACATCCTTCTAGTTGCTGTATGTGGGATGCGGCCTCAGCATGGCCGGAGAAGCGGTGCGTCGGTCCGCACCCGGGATCCGAACCCAGGCCGCCAGCAGCGGAGTGCGCGCACTTAACCACTAAGCCACGGGGCGGCCCGTTCCTTGTATGTTTTAGATATTGGTTTTACATTGAAAATATCTTCTCCCAATTTTTCTGTTAACTTTGTTAAACAGTGTTCTTCACTGCTGAACTCCATTTGTTCTAATATTTGTCAGTTTATTCTATTGTGTTTTCTATATAGATGATCATCTGCACATAGTGAGTTTTATTTCCTCCTTTTAATCATTCCGATTTGTGTTTCTTTTTATTATGATATTAATAAAGATCTCTTGTACCATGTTAAACAGTAACAATGATAGTAGGCATCCTTGATGTGTTTGGGATCTTAAAGAGAATACTTAATGTTGCCTTCCCAATTTCGCCTACCTTGGGCATCTTATTTAAAGTAAATATGCTCCACATATGTATACCCACATCCTGATACCCCTTACCAAGCTCAGTGTTTTCTTTTTCCTTAGTAATTGTCACCTTCTAATATACTATGTAACACTATTTATTACATATATTGTTTACCATCTGTCTCTCTCCAATGGGTGTAAGTTCCCTGAAGGCAGGAGTTTTTGTTTTGTTCATTGATACATCCTAAGCACGTAGAAGAATGTTTGGTACGTAGTAGATACTCAATGAATATTTGCTGAAATGGATGAATTTCTCCATTAAGTGTGGTATGTTATAGCTTTTGGTGTGTAGCTTTTATCAAGTAAGGAATTTCCCTTTAACTCTTAGTTGAGAGCTTTTAATATCAGATGTAAAACTTTATCAAATACTTTTTCTGTACTTATTTAAATGAATGTTTCTCTCTTTAATCCATTAATACATGATCTACATTTATAGATTTTTCTGTTTTTAAACAATCTTTATGCTCCTGAGATAAGCCGCCTTGATCATGATCATTATACACTATTGACTTTGGAAATCTAGTGTTGTATCTAGAATTTTCAAATCTGTGTTGAGAAGTAGAGAGGGCTCCTTAACTGGTTATGGCATCAAGGTTATCCTAGCTTCGTAAAATAAGTTGGCAGCTTTGCCTCTTTTTCTGGTTTTTAAAACAACTTGTATAACAGGGACTCTCTGTCCCTTGAAAGTTTGTAAAATTATCTAGGCTTGGAGCTTTAGGGGAGGAGGATGAGGGTAAATCTGTTTATCTTTTTAATGTTTTACATAGTTATTGGTCTATTCGAATTTTCTGATTCTTGTGACAGTTTTGGCACTTTTGTTTTTTCTAGAAATGCATACTTTGTCTAGGTTTTCAAACTTATTATTATATATTTGCTTATAATATTTTATTTTTAAAATCTCTGGTATCTGCGTTATTTCTCCTTATTTAGTCTATATTTTTAATTTGTATCTCTCTCTGTTTTGCTCAGTCAGACTTGCCAGACATTTAAGAACCAACTTTTAGTTTTGTTCATCTTTTTTTTCCCCTGTACTGTTTTTCATTGACTTCTTCCTTTGTGTTTCCTTCTGCCTTCTTTGGGTTTGCAATGATGTACGTTTTCCAATATCTTGAATGCTTAGCTTATTTGTTTTCTATCTCTTGTTCTCTCTTATTTTCAAATAAATGTATTTGAAGCTATAAGTTTCCTTTTAAGTGTTATGTTCCTCAAATTTTGACATTTTTTGTCTTTTATTTTATTATTTTCCTTTAATTTATAATATTCTTTTTAACCCAAGGGAGTTATTTATTAGTATGTCTTTACTTTCTAGACATATGGTATATACTTTTAAAACTTTCCTTTTGTTATTGTTTAGGGCTCTCTCTTTCTTTTTCTTATGAGCTCCAGCAATAATTAAAGTATGTCATCCTTTGCTTACCTTTAAAGTTTTAAATATCATATTAAATTGAATCTAAGGTACTATTAATTATAAGGTGCAACATTATTTTATGTTTTACTAAGAGAAAAATACAAAGTTGGAATTAAACTATGACAAATAATTTCTTATCACTTAGAATTTTTATTTTGTATGTATTGACAGAGTTCTTTTAAATGTGTTTAAGCATATAGATTTTTATCATATGTTGTCCTTTGCAAACATAAAAAGGAATATATGTATATGAAATAAAATAGTTAATATTTTTCTAAAACTTCACCACTGCCGCCTGGCCACAGCAATTTTAAATTGTTCCTGGTTGTAAGATGCATCCAAATTTCAAAGATGTTAAAATGTAAAAGAAGATTAGGTCGTAGAATCAATGAAATAAGATATATTTTAATTTCAAGTGTTGAAAGTTATATATTTTTTATAAACAAAGTGGGAGTGAAGTATATGGGCCTGGCATCATGATTTTCTCAATTTCTCTGAGAGGTATTTAAATAAACTATTCTGATGTCAGAAGCTTAAAACACACTCTTTGCAATATCAAGTCTCAAAGAAAGAAGTTAATCTTTTTAATGGTAGACGCCACGGCTAATAATTATTGCATGACAATTGAATCAACAAATCACACCAATAAAGACCCTTTTTTTCCTAATCTTTTTAAGGCAAAAGCAACAACAATCAAAGAAGCCCTAGCCAGATGGGTGAGTATATGAGTTTTTACTTGTTTTAGAAACTATACAAGGAGAATTTTGGGATAGTTATTTAAATCTGACCGTTCACTACAAGGGATCTTTGTGGTATTGGAACTGTTTAGCTGCCTTGACCGTCGTGGTGGATACATGAACCTATACAGGTGATAAAAGTATAGAACTTAGTACACACATACAAACATTCACATTTATATGTACAGATTAGTACAAGTAAATTGGGAAAATCTGATTGAAATCAGTGGATTGTATCAATATCAATATCTTGGTTGTGATATTATACTATAGTTTTTCAAAATGTTACCATTGGGGGAAACTGGGGTGTGCAAGGGATCTCTCTGTATTACTTTTTATAATTACAGGTGGGTCTTCAAATATTTCAATAAAAATTTCAATTAAAAAATCTGACCACTGGAAAATTTAAATATGGCAAGGCTAATTCATCTATTACTATAAGATGACTGGAACCTCTGTGTTACAGTACATTTTCTTTTTCAACTTTATCATCATTAAACTACATGTCATTTTCAGGTGATAGAGTGGTATGTGTTGTGGATTATCTAGATATTAGACAGATGATGGTTTTAGCCTCTTGAAGGTTAGAACAGAGACAGCCCATGTGAACAAACAAAAATCATGCATAGACAACTGAAAAGACATTGAATAAAGATACTAAAGTGATGCCCAACATCACTGATCATCAGGAAAATGCAAATCAAAACCAGTGAGATCTTACCTCACACCTGTTAAAATGGCTGTCATCAAAAAGACAAGAAAGAGTGTTGGTGAGGATGTGGAGAAAAGGGAACTCTTGTGTACTGTTGGTGGGAATGTGAATTGGTACAGCCACTATGGAAAACAGTATGGAGGTTCCTCAAAAATTTACAAATAGAACTACCATATGATCCAGCAATCTCACTTCTGGATATATATCTGAAGGAAATGAAATCACTATCTTGAAGAGCTATCCGTACCCCCATGTTCATTGCAGCATTATTCTCAATAGCCAAGACATGGAAACAACCTAAATGTCCATCAATGGATGAATGGAAAAAGGAAATGTGTTTATATACACAATGGAATATTATTCAGCCATAAAAAAGAAGGAAATCTTGCCATTTGTGACAACATGAATGGACCTTGAGTGCATCATGCTAAGTGAAATAAATCAGATAAAGAAAGACACATATTGTATGATCTTACTTATATGTGGAATCTAAAAAAGCATAACTCAGAAACAGAGAGTAGAATGGTGGTGGCCAGGGGTTGGAGACTGGGGGAAATGAGGAGATGTTGATCAAAGGGTACAAACTTCCAGTTATAAGACGAATGAGTTCTGGGGATCTAATGTACAGCATGATGACTATGGTTAATAATACTGTATTATATACTTGAAAGTTGTTAAGAAAGTAGATCTTAAATGTTCTCAGCACACACAAAAAATAATTATGTGAGGTGATAGATGTGTTAACTGATCTTATTGTGGTAATCATTTTGCAATATATACATGTATTGAATCATCACATTGTATACCTTAAACTGACACCATGTTATATGTCAATTATATCTCAAGAAAGCTAGAGAAAAATACTAGAGCATATAGTAATATTAGAAAGGAAACTGCATTACAAAAAACGTGCATTAAATATAAACTATAAATAATTTGAATATAACATTCTATAAAGTTTGAACAGTTGTAATTTAGCATTATAGACAGAATTTCCATGGAGTATAGAGATGGCTCCTCCATATGTATACCCAATGATAACTTATTTGCCTATGTTTTCAATAATTTTTCACGTAATAATGCATCTTTTGCTTTTGTAGCTGGGCTTTGAATAAAAAGTCTTTCAAGAAACTTGCTAAGGAAAATAGACAAAGTGAATAGGATAATGAAATATTTGAGTTCTTGTTTTAGTGCTTATAAATTTCTTTGTACCCTAATTGCATTTTTAAACTTTATTTCTGTTTGGTTAATGAAAAATCTGTGTTGTTAAAAAGACAGTATGGAGTAGGCTTTATTAATTAATTAGATTCAGTTTTCCTTGAATTAGATTTTAGGACTTTATTTTATTTACTTATAATAACAAATGGTTGTTTTTTTGTTTTGGTTTGTAGGTTCTATTTCTAGATTACATTCTGGCCATAAATCTTTGATGTATTTGAAGACATCAATCTCACTCTTTGACTGATTAACCCAACATTTATTGAGGATCTACTGGGTGTCAGTTTCCCCTCCCCTAACCTATAAGTGTATGGCACAAAATTGAGTACTGAATGGATGTATATTAGATCTCTTTCTTTCAACTGATTATATTTTCTATTATTGATGTGTTATGATTTGATTTTTTAAAATAAGCCTCTTGTGTCTTACATTGCACTGGGTTATAGAAAACATAGGGAAGCAAAGGAAATGGTCCCTGAGCTTTAAGGAGCTTGCTGTTTTGTTGGAGAGATAGAACTCACTCTTAAGTGTTGAGGTACTTAGAAAATATTATTAGTCAGCATATACTGGTAATTAAATTTCAAATTGTGTACTTAGTACCAGAATTAAATTCTAAGGTAGAATTTAGTAGTAAATTATTGTAGAGCAAATAGCTTTAACCTCAGCTGTGCAGTAAAGAGAATATCTTCCAAAATTCTTGGTGTTTGGGGGTTCTAGCTCAGACTGAACTGTGTATTGAAAACGGAAGATGAGATGACAAAGAAAACAGTTGATCTTATAGATCTGAATCTGATATTTAAGAAAAGGTTGTTTTGGGACAAGGAGTTCTCCCCAGGAAAATGTTTTCGTTGTTGTTGTGTTTTGTTTTTGTTGGTTAATTGATAGACTCTTAAAGGATTTTAAATATTACAGAAATAAAAATTTTTTTCTTTCCTCCTCCTTTCCATTTGGTTGGGACCTAACAAAGAATTATCGGAATCAGCCACATAGAAGCCTAGTTATCAGGGTCAGTAGGTAAATGTCAATAAGTGAACCGTAAAGAATACACAGAATTATTAAATTCTAATAATTGTTTTGAAATAAACATTGAAAAGCTTTGGGAAATTCTTGCCTTTTTTAGTTCCACATTACAATCAGGGATCATTTTCTTCCAAATTTATTTTATCATAGGAAGAGAAAACCAGTCAGAAGCCATCCGAAGCCAAAGAGATAAAGCTTTATGCCCAGATTCCCCCTATAGAGAAGATGGATGCATCCTTGTCCACACTCGCTAATTGCGAGTAAGTTCTCTTGTCTTTTTTCATCCTTGTTGTATTGCTGTTAAATTTACCTTCCTTTTCTAAATACAAAACTAGAAAAATATGTTTGTTTTCTGCGATCTTCATTTCTTTTTTCGTTTGCTTAATGTAATTCTCCCTTTGGCAAGGCCAAATATAACAGGTTATTGGTATATAGAATTATTAATAGAGTTATCCTGAATAATACAATATTTTTTTACAAATATTTTTATAAGGTGCCCAGAAAATAGAAATTTCTTTGTCTCTTGGGAAAAGCTCAATAACACAATAAAACTATTGCTCTGTCATAAAATCTAGTACCTGCTCTTGTAAAATTATTCACCGAAATAGTACTGTACTTACTAGAGGCCTAAGACATAGTGCTTTAAAAAAACTTCAAATTATAAAAATACATTGCAAAACCTGTAGAAAATATAAAAAGCACAAAGAAAAGAAATTAATATCAACCAAAATGGCACCACCTTTTGAGAATCAGTGTTAGCATTTTGATATAGGGCCTTCTAATTTTTTTTCTAATTGGGATCAAGTTACAATTATTACTTTGTAGTCCTATTTCCCATGACTTTAAGTGTCAGATCTATATTAATTCCTTTTAACTTATTTTCTAAATATTCTGTTTACTTTTTAGCAGGATTCTGCGGCGAATTTGAGGCAGTTATACCATGACACCTTGTAATCATGCTCTCAGGCTGCAGTGTCTCTTGTCAGAGCTATAGAATGTTATAGAATCACTTGGGGTTCATTCGGATTTCTTCACCCTGTATTTTTCTCAGTGTGGTTCCCTCACTCCCTACATAAGAATCTCCTTATGCAGGAGATAAGCCCCACCCAAAATTTATAGAAACACAATATCTGCTGATGAAACCTAGGAATCTGTTTATTATAAGCAACTTGGGTGTTTTTTAGATACATATTTGTGAACCTATGCATTAGACTAGTATCTGTCTTTGGAGTGAAGGGGAAAAGCAAACATCTTGAGTTATTGTATGCAATTTGTCCTTTATGATGAGAGCACAGCATATTACATAAAAATCCACCTTAGATGGTTTTTTGGCTTCAGAAGCATGATTTCAAAGTGGTCAAATATCTCTACATAAAGCCATCTCAAAGGCAAACATTTGAGAGGGTTTTGTACCTCATACCAAAGTTCCTTGGAAACTGCTTAAAAGAAGTCAACCTATTCATCTTTTTGCTGACAATCTCTTTGGGTAGGTTGCCTAAAGAACAATGAATAAATTATTCCTCAACCATATTCCCAGATTTAAGGCACTCCATTTTTCACTGGGAGTTCTTGGGAGTGGTGGATGACTAGAAAATATATAGATTTGGCCAATGATTTACACTGTACAGTATTTGCTTTTGTTGTTTCAAGCAGAAATGTGAATAATTCCTCTTCAAGTCAAATCATAAAGGATAAGATCACATATTTTAGAGTCAAATTTTGGGGGTTTTTTTTGTTTTTTTTGTGAGAAAGATCAGCCCTGTGCTAACATCTGCCAATCCTCCTCTTTTTTTGCTGAGGAAGACTGGCCCTGGGCTAACATCCATGCGCATCTTCCTCCACTTTATATGGGACTCCGCCACAGCATGGCCTGACAAGCGGTGCCTCAGTGCACGCCTGGGATCCGAACCGGCGAACCCTGGGCCGCCGTGGCAGAGAGTGTGCACTTACCTGCTTGCGCCGCCAGGCTGGCCTCAAATTTTGGGCGTTTTAAATTTGGCTGTGCTGCTTTCTGGCTGTGTAATATTAGGCAAATTGTTTAACATCTTTGTTGCTCAGTTTCCTCATTTGTAAAATATGGATAATAATAATACTTCACAGGATTGTTGTGATAGTTAAAATAGTTAATACATGTAAAGTACTTCAGAGAATACTGGGCACACATTAAATGGTCAATAAAATTAGCTTTTATTATATTTTTTGCGTGATATTTACTTAGACATTTTTATCAAGAAAGGAAGACAGGATATGTAATTATGCTCCCGTTAAAATTTGTTTTTTGATTTTTTTTTTGTGAGGAAGATCTGCCCTGTGCTAACATCTGCCAATCCTCCTCTTTTTGCTGAGGAAGACGGGCCTGGACTAACATCCATGCCCGTCTTCCTCCACTTTATATGGGACACCGCCACAGCATGGCTTGACATGTGGTGCCTCGGTGTGCGCCTGGGATCCGAACCGGCGAACCCCAGGCCACCGCAATGGAGCGCACGCACTTAACTGCTTGTGCCACCAGGCCAGCCCCAAAATTTGTTTTTATGTAATTAACAAATGTATAGAAAAAATCTAGACAAGTTTATACGAACTATTAAAAGTAGTTCTCTCTGGGGGAATGTGTGGGGTGTTGAGAATTACATATGACTTCTTACAATATACATTTCTGAATGATTTAACACATGAGAAAATAAATATTTCCATACATGCATATATAAAGTTCTACTTTTTATAAAAGGATCATATAAAATGTATTGTTCTGCTAGATGGTTTTTTAACTTAACTACAGATCATGGACATCTTCCCAAGTTGGTATTTATAGCCCAATCTCATTTGTTTCAGTGGCAGCGTAGTATTTCATTATCTATTCGTCAGTTGATGGATGTTTATAGATTTCTTCCCATTTTTTTGCTATTACAATAATGCAATAAGTAATCTAGTTAATATATCTTTTGGTATTTGTATTAGTATTTCAGTAGGATGTGTTCCTAGAAATGAATCACTGAGTCAAAGAACACATGCATTAAAAAATTTAGTAGATAACACCAAACTGCCCTCAAAAAGGTTTTTTTAAATTTTCTACAATGAGTGTGTTAATACTTTTGTAATCATAAAAAAAGTATGAGGATTTCAAAATGAAGGAATACATGCCATGTCTGAGGGGGAAAAAGGATTCAGTGTAAAAAGGAAATACAACCTAAATATCATTTTCTATGAGCACTTGAGGAATAATTTCTGATATACCATTTAAAATTTTTTCATATTAATTCAAGTTTTCCTTTGTTCTCTTTAAGGAAGCTTTCACTGTCTACAAACTGCATTGAAAAAATTGCCAACCTGAATGGCTTAAGTAAGTGATCCACAGTAACAGATGGTTCTTGGAATTTCTAGTTACTCAAATAAACATTCCAGAGACACTACATAATCCTAGAAGCTGGCACCTGTTTTAACCACAGTAATTGTCAGATGACAGAGAGAATATATAAATCATGTGTCTTAAGTTTGATTATCCAAAGAAAATTAGAGATAACATGAGACCTGAACATTTTGAAGACATTTTAAAGCTTTGTTAGAGTTAGAATTGAGATATCTTAAATAGAAATTCAGAATTTTTGATATATATTTTTTGTTCAGCTTTGTCTTCTGTTTCATACTTGTTATATTTAAAATTTAATTCCTCACCATCCCTGTTTTTCCTGTGCTCCTTATCTTTGTTAATGGGACCGCCACCTTCCCAGTTGCCAAGGCCTCTGACTCCTTGTGCTAGTTTCCTATGGCTGCTGAAACTTGGTGGCTTATAGCAACAGAAATTTATTCTCTCCCAGTTCTGGATGTCAGAAGTCTGAAATCAGTTTTACTGGGGCAAAATCAAGGTTTTGACAGAACCACACTCCATCCGGAGGCTTTAGGGGAGAATCTGTTCCTTGCCTCTTCTAGATTCTGGTGGCTGCCCTTTCCTTATGACGGCATCACTCCAGTCTCTGCCTCCATGGTCGTATTGCCTTCTCATTTTTGGTCTGTGTCAGATCTTTCTCTGCCTCCCTCTTATGAGGATACATGTTATTGCATTTAGGGAGCACCTAGATAATCAAGGATACTCGCCCCATCTTAAGATCCCTAACTTAATCACATATGCCAAGTTCTTTTTTCCCATATAAGGTAACATTCACAGATTCCAGGGATTAGGATGTAGCTATCTTTTGGTGAGCCATTATTTAGCTTACCATATTCCCCCTTTACTTCCCTCGAGCCCTACAACCAAGATCATTACTAACTCTACTCTTTCAAAGAACTCTCAAATAATTTGTTGCTTTTCCATTTCTAGGAGCTACAGCTTTAATTTAGACCCTCATCATAGCCCCCTAGATGGGGGTTTTCAAACATTTTTGACCGCTTTCCACAGTAAGAAATACATTTGAAGGGGCTGGCCTGGTGGTGTAGTGGTTAAGTTCACATGCTCTGCTTCGGCAGTGGCCCAGGGTTTGGATCCCGGGTGCAGACCTACGCACCGCTTATCAAGCCATGCTGTGCCAGGCGTCCCACATATAAAGTAGAGGAAGATGGGCACGGATGTTAACCCAGGGCAAATCATCCTCAGCAAAAAAAAGGAGGAGGTTTGGAGACAGATGTTAGCTCAGGGCTAATCTTCCTCACTAAAAAAAAAAAGATTTTTTGAATTCATGACTCAGTACATATATTCATATGAATATGAATATCAAATATACGGATACACATATGAACTGGAATAAAGTTTGTAAAACAATATTTACCCTTATAGGACAAGTTCCAGTATAATTTTTTAAAATTTGATTTCACTTTTTTAAATGCTGGTCACAAACCACTAAGTTGATTTCACATGACCCACAGTTTGAAAAATACTGCCTTACAAGTTTTGTGATAGCCTCCTAATTGATCTCCTTGTCTCTTATCTTTCTGCTTTTCAGTTGACCTTCAGCACTGATACCAGAGTTCTCTTTCTGAAAATATTATTCTCATTATCATTCCTCCAGATCAGAGACCTTTAATGGCTCCTCTTTGCCTAGTAAAGACCAAATACCTTAATGTTGCATTCAAAGTCATCTAAAAGCTTATACCACCCTATTCACACCCAAACACATCATTCTTTTTTATAACTTTGCGCACTTGTTAATGCACTGCTTTTCATTGAGAACAGCCCTTTCTTCTAAGAGGCAAGTCCTACGAGAAACAATTAGGTTTAAGAATGCCAAGTTTAAATGTCATTTCTCCCTCTAAAGACTTCTCTAATCTCTCTCATCATAGTTACTCCTTCTTTGGGAACATTTATAACAGTCTACCTTGGGTTATAATAGTAATTACCTACTTCATACAGTTATTGTGAAGATTAAATGAGTTAGTATATATAAAGTGCTTAGAATAGTGCCTGGTGCATATAAATGCTCAAGAAATATTAGCCATTATTACAGTTAGTGAGGAATATATTCTGTCTCTTTAGATAATGAGCTCCTTTAGAGCAAGCATCACATCTTATTAATCTTTTTATCTTCTATTTCAAATCTCCATCCCCTCCAGTACCTTACTTAAAGTTGGCATTCAGTATTTATATAGTGCTGGAGAAGAAGTGTTGCATAAGATGACTCAATCTATTCCAATTTTTCACTGACTCATTAAACAATTTGAGATGTTTCATTTTATTCTCTGCTTCAATTTCTTTGTAATTGAAATAATTTGCTTAAGTGAGACTAAATTGATGACATATTATTTATCAATACAAATAACATGCTTTTCTTTTTGTAAACCATGACTATGACAATAGTGAAAATAGATTACTTTCTATATAGGGCTAGCAATGGGTTTTAACTCATATTCTAACTTTGGTCAATTGGTAGTGACTCCCAGGAAAATTGTATTAAGCAGAGTTCTAAAAATTCAGTGGAAAAGAGTATTTTGATCAATTATTGATGTCTATCGTAGACATGGAATGAGAGTATAGGCATTTATACCGTGTATTTGCTATACTTGACTCATCTCATTTTAGTTCTACTTGTAACAAATAGTACTTCTGCAGTGTATGGCCAGGGAATACACTTTATCTGTGACTATGAAGCAAAAAGAAGCCAACTGACCCATATGAAGGATTGAGCGTATAACTCTAGCTTGCATCCCTCCCCTTTCCTTTCATGAGCACTGTAGTCTTACCTATTATATGCTATGATGAGAGGATCTGAAATAAATAGGTAAGGGGGTTTATAAGGCAGAATAACCCTAATGGCAGTTTATCTTTATTGTACCAAAACTGTGACTGGAAAACTGCTGGACATGATTGTGTTCAAAACTGTGACTAAAAAGCCACACAATGTGAATATTAATAATCTCATATTAAAGATTAGATAATAAATTTTGTTGCCTCGTATCTTTGGTAAAAAAATTATACTTTATTCCTTCAGTTTACTAAATAAATAACATAAAACTTGAAGACACTGTTTTGATTTTCATCAGGACCTGTATGAAGAAACAATGTTTTCCTTCTAGTAGTGCTCTACTTATGCAGCATATAAAGTATGGAAGATATGTAATTGTGTTATGTTAGAACACTTAGTCTATTAACTTTGATATCTTATTATACTTCCCTATATAGCAATAAGATCTTTTTAGCCTTTCATTAGCATTTTCATATGCATTTTTTAAAAGGAGTTTTATATGTTAAGTTAGATATTATCTTTGAAAGAGTTGCATGTATTTGTTATCCAATTTCTAAGGTTGTTTCTCAGTCTTCATCTTAGTTGACCAACCAGTGTACTTTGACATGGATGATTTCTCTTTCCTCTTTGAAACAGTTTCAATATTTGGCTTTTAGGACACTGTACCCTCCTGATTTCCTCCTGCCTTTCTGGCTACTTCTTCCCGGTCTCATGTCCCCAACTTTTAAATGTTGGAGTACCCCAGGACTCAGTTCTTGGATCTCTTCTCTTTTCTGTCTGCACCTATTCCCTAGATTATTTCATCCAGATCATGGCTTTACCATCTATATGCTGATGGCTCCCAAGTTTATATCTCTAGTCCAGGCATCTCCTCTGAACTCCAGATTCAGATTCAGTTCTCTGATATTTCCATTGGATGGCTAACATCTCATACTTAACAAGTCCAAAACTGAGTCCTGATATCCTTCCCAGCCCCACCTAAACCAACTTCTTGTGTGTTTTATCTCAGATAATGATACCTCCATTCTTCCAGTTGCTCAGACCACACTCCTTGAAAATTTCTTGATTCCTCTCTCACACGTCCCCTATAAGGCCTATTATCTTTCTAATTTCATCTCCTGTTACCCTCTGTTGTGTTTTGTGAGCACTTCTGATGTGGTCCTGCCTCATTGCGTTTGCCCGTGATGTTCCCTCTGCCTGTAAGTGTTCTTCCTCCAGATATCCTCATGGCTAGCTGCCTCACTTCCTTTGAGTCTTTACTTAGAAGTCACCTTCTATCTAAAATATCAACTGCTTCCAACCCCCTGACATTTAATTCCTTTTACTTTCTTTTTTTTCCCTTCACACTTGTTACTATCTAATATATTTACTTATTTTGTTTACTATCTGCTGAATCTTAGCTCCATGACAGCAGAAATTTTTATCAGTCTTATCACTGTTATATTGCAAGTGCTTATAGCTGTTTCTGGCATGTAATAGATGCTCAACAATTATGTGTTAAATGAATAACTTTTTGAATAAGCTTTTTATTTTGCATGGAAAAAAATGAAATGGTAATTTTTCCATGTCAAGAAGCTTTAAAGAATAATTGATTATGTGATTTTCTTAAATATTTAATTTTCACACATTTATAGTTATATGGGGTATATTAGTTTGCTAGGGCTGCCATAACAAATCCCACAGACTGAGTGGCTTAAACAACGGAAATTTATTTTCTCACAGTTGGGGAGGCTGGAAGTCTGAGATCAAAGTGTCGGCAGGATTGATTTCTTCTGAGGCCTCTCTCCTCAGCTTGTGGATGCCATGTTTTCCCTTTGTCTTCACATAGTCTTTTCTCTGTTTCTGTCTGTATCCTAATTTCCTCTTCTTATGATGGCACCAGGCATATTGGATTTTACCTAAAATCATCTCATTTTACCTTAATTACCTCTTTAAAGGCCCTGTCTCCAAGTACAGTCACATTCTGAGGTACTGGAGGTTAGGACTTCAACATATGAATTTTGAGAGGACACAATTCAGCTTATAACATTGGGTCTTGTTTCAATAGTTAAACGATTTTGCTTGAATTAGATCACTCATAAAATACATTGTTCTGAAAGTTAAATGTTTCTCGTAAGAGAATTTAAAATAATTTATCAAATTAATTAAAACAAAAGTTTATATAACTATATATGCCTGACACATGCACACATACACATATCATTCATTGTGTACTTACAATAGATTAGGCATTATGCTGAATGCTTTAGACAATTTTCTCATTTAATCCTTATATTCTTATAAGATAAGATATTATATTTCCTCATTTGATATATGCTGAAACTGAGATTCAAAGAGATTTGGTTGCTTCCCTAGAGGGTTGGGATTGGAACTCAGTTAATTGGGTTTGTGTTCTTAACCACTGAATTATGGATGTTATAGAACAGTGCCATCCAGTAGAACTATCTGCACTGTTACAATACAGTTGCCACTAGCCATGTTCAGCTATTAAGCTCTTGAAATGTGGCTAGAGTAACTGATAAACTGAATTTTTAATTGTATTTAATTAATTTAAATAGCCACATGTGGCTAGTAACTGCCATATTAGACAGCGTAGTTATAGAAGTTTAAGCTGTGAAAATGAAATGTATAACTTATGCTTAAGTAATCACAGTACTTTTTTAAAACAGAAATGAGGTTTCCTGTGTTTTACTAGAAATCTTTTTTTTAATTTTGAAAAATAATACATAAAAATATTTATGCAAATAGTTCAAAAGAGGTTACAATGAAAAATAAGTCTCCTTCTAACCCTAGACTCTCACTTCCTCCCCAAAAGCAACCACTGTTTCTACTTTCTTTTTTCTCTCCCAGAAATAGCCTATAGATATACAAATAGAAACATCCTTTTAAAAATTACAAATAACCATTTTTTAACCAAATCACAATCTAATTATTTAAAAGATTGAAAGCAAAAGATTTTTAAAATACTAGTTCATTTTATTTCACTTCTAATACTTTGTAGAATGAGGTGGACTATACATAAATATGTTTCTATTTTCTAGTGTGAACTCTTATACTAGAAGAGATTTGAAATATATATGCTCCCAAATTTAAAGTTCAAATCTTCTTTACTCTTATTTTATCCCTGTAATATTTTTACTAGCCAGCAATTTAAGACCATGCATTCCAAATAGCTAACTATTTTTAAATTTAATATTGACATGATGTGAAATTATAGTTGTAGTGTTTACCTTAGATGATAGGTCAATGTTATTTCCTACTTGATTACCACTTTTTATTAATACAGGCTTTTTTTACTTTATATAAGGATATTTATTATATAAAACTTATTAAAGCTTTACTATTCTAGATTTATAATAATTGTGTAATATGATTCTTATAAACAAAAAATTTCTGTCTTTCCACTACAGAAAACTTGAGGATATTGTCTTTAGGAAGAAACAACATAAAGAACTTAAATGGACTGGTAGGTTGTTATTTATTAATTTAAGAAAGCATACACTGTTTTTCTTAGTATACAAATAATACTTGTCCATTGTAGAAACTTTAAAAAATAGAAAAGCAACTATAAAAAGTACCTAAGAAGCCACTGACAATTTAAATACTGCTAACATTTTGATTGACGTCTTGCTTGCCTTTTTTTCTGTTCTTCAATGGCTATGTAGAGAATGAAATCATACTATACATGTTGTTTTGCATCTCTTTTTTTTTTTTACTTAATATGTAGAGGTCATTTTTCCATGTCCGTTATTCATTCAACAAATTCATTCAGTATATTTCCTGAATGCCTACTTTCCAGGCACTGTTCTAGGCACTAGAGATACGGCAGAATATAAAACAAAGTCCTTGCTCTTGTAGAACTTACATTACAGTGGAGGGAGACAGACTAGTAAATAATTGTATAATACGCCAGGTAGTGATGAATGCAATGAAGACAAACGAGACATATAAGAGAATATAGATTGATGGGGAGCCTTCTCTGGAAGTGAGGAGTGTAGGCTATAGAGCTGACCAAGGAGCAAGTGCTCCAGGCTGAGGTGGGACAGCAAGTGCAAATGTCTTGAAACTGAAGCTGCTTGTTATGCTTGAGTAAGAGCAAAAGAGTTGAATGAGGGAGGGAGAATTCTCCTCAGTGAGGCTAGAGTGGGAGCCAGGAACCAGGCCACATCAGGCCTTATAGGTCATAAGATTTTAGACTTTTTTTCCAAGTGGCTTGCAAAGCCCTTGGAAGTTTTTGATCCAAGGATGTGACTTAAGTTTTTAAAATAATTTTCAACCATATCCTTTTTTAATAACAGCATGATATACTATTTTATTGATGTACCAGAATTTATTTAAATTAGTTATTTATTATTCATTATTTCCAGTTTGGAGTTATTATAATAAACACTTATGAATCTCCTTTTAGTTATGTCATTGCATACATCTATGAATAATTCCTTGGGTAAATCCCTTGAAATGGAATTGAAAAGATATGATTTCTTTTAAGGCTTTTGTGACATATTATCAAGTTACCCTTCAGAAAGTTTGTAACAGTTTATACTCCCACCAGTAATGGATGAGTGTTCCCATTTCCCCTTACCAACCTTAGGCATTTAAAATTTTTTTAAGTTTTTGACAATATATTTTGTTTGTATATATATTGGCCTTTGAATTTCCCTGCAAAGAAGTTGAGATGAAACAATATTGTAAAACTAGGCAATTTCAGGAAAGATGAAGCTAATTTCTTTTTCTTGTATCTGTCCCCAAAAAGACAATAATTTTTTTAAAAGAGTTTATTGTTAAATAATTCATAAACATTCTGGAATTTTTTCTGACTCTGGCCACCTTCCTCACCTTCCAATAAGTCTAGCTTCTACTTCATAAGAGCCAGTGGGGTTGAAACTGCAGTGCTTCCCAATAATAACCTCCCAAGACCAGAAAGGCTAAAATGTCCATTTCCCCATTACAGAGACAGCTACAATACCTGAATAGGAGTCAGTGTTCAAAGGTGCAATTCTGGAATTATCTTAAATTATCTGAATAATATTCCCACTTCTATGTGTCTACATACAAAAAATGTTATTAATAAATTTATAAATGCTTGGAAATTCTTAGAGATTATACTCTGGAGTTAAATAAAGGAGGTTTTCTTCCCCAAAACAATAACCAGTAGGTGAATTATTTGCTTTCTAGTTAGATATGATGAGTAAAATCCTTAATTATCTGTAAAAAAAATTTTTTTGTTTTTCTGAACGATTGGTAAATTTAAAGATATTTTGCCTTCTCTCCATTCTCTGAGCCTTAGATGGTAACAATTTCAAATATAGGGACATTATTCATAATGGGTAAAATATTAAATTGTAGTACAAAAATTCAGAATTTATTGGACTTCAGACTAAACATTACTTACTTTGAATTATCTGTAAAGAAAGAGTTTGTAAATAAATGTACCCCAAAATTTTTAGGATCAATATGATAGCTACTTGATGTTTCCCCAGGTATTTACAGAAAACCAGATTCTCAAGTATTGCTATAGTATACAAATGTAATGTATACCTAGAAACCACAAAGAAATTATAAATATAGGATTAAAGGCATGTATGGAGGTATTGTCTAGCTGAACCATCACTTGCTTAGATCTCTTCACTTTCTATAGACTCCTATCAATAACACTCAACAGTTGGTTTTCTTTCCAGGATGTGTGTATATGTGTGTGTGTGTGTGTGTGTGTGTGTGTACATACACCAAAAACAACATTTTACTAGTCCAAAAGCTTTGCTATTTATGCATAGACTAAAGAAAAATAAATCTGTATAGGGACACAGATACTAGTCTTTAAGTAGGTTCACATACTAACTGATTTATTCATCTAGACACACCAGCCTCATAGCATGATTTAAGTAGCTACCTCAGGAAGTTACAAATGACTACTCTGATACGTGAGGCATGGAATGTTAAATCGAAGGAAAGGGGTCTATTTAAAACTAATTAGGAAAACTGACTATTAAGGTACATTATAAGCCCATTCGTATTTATGATCTGGCCTCTGGCTTCCCTCCTGATCTCATTTCATGTCACTCTTCCTAGTTGGTAATCTCAAGCCACTGGCAGTTGTCCTCTTCCTTGAACATGCCAAGTCCCTTCCCACTTGAGGACCTTTGTACTTGCTGTATGTATCCTCTGCCTTAAAAACTCTGCTACCCGCATTTCCATGTTACTGGTTCCTTCCTAACCTTCACACTTGAGCTCAGATGTCAACTCCTCAAAAGTGACCCAACTACCGTATATCTAAAGCAACCTTCTAGGCAATAGCTCTTACCACCTATAATTTTTTTTCATCTTTCTTATTATTATTTGAAATTCGTATTTGTTTGTTCTCTCTCCTTCTCTCTGTCTCTCACTCTCACACACACACTCTCACAAATCCTAAAGAGCACGTTAGTTTTGTTCATCAGCATCTACATTAGTGCTTGATACATGTAGTAGGCACTCTATAAATATTTATTGAGTGACTCAATATATTTTAATTAATTATAAAAACTATGAGGTTAAATTTTTAATTCTGAGTAATATATGTTCATTGTAAAAAATCAAGCAATTCATAAATATATGAAATACACTGTGAAAGTCTTTCCTCTTTCTACCTACCTCCCCAACTCTTTGAAGTAACAGAAATAATAATTTTGTATACTTTAAAATTTTTTCTGTGTACATACAAATAAATAGATATCTGTGTGTTTGCGTATATACATATATATATGTTATATATGTTTGTCCTGATAATGTACAAGGCATATTTTTCCTGCTTTTTCATTCAACAGTATATCAGGAATATCCTTCCAAGTCAAAACAGCATATTTAATGCCTTTTTTTTTAATAGCTGTATGGTTTTCCACTGTCATACTGTAGCGGCTGCGTGTTGCTGTGATGCTGAAAGCTATGCCACTGGGATTTCAAATATCAGCAGGGTCACCCATGGTAGACAGGTTTCAGTGGAGCTTCCAGACTAAGACGGCCTAGGAAGAAGGACCTGACCCCCTACTTCCCAAAAAAAATTGGCCATGAAAACCCTATGAGTAGCAGCAAGCACTGTCTGATACAGCACTGGAAGGTGAGAGGATGGTGCAAAAAGACTGGCAGGGTTCCACTCTGCTGTACACGAGGTTGCTAGGAGTTGGAATTGACTTGATGGCACTAACAGCAGCAAATAGTTTTCCACAGTATCAGTATACAACAATGTATTTAGCTATTCCTATACTGCTGAGCATTTAGATTATTTCCAGCTACTTTCTTGAGGAAGGAGTGTCTCATTTTTTTTGCTATTACAAATCTTACTGCAGTGAACATCTTTGCTCATATATCCTTCAGCAGTTATTTGAGTGTTTACATAGGCTAGATTCCTAAAAGTAGAAGTGCTGAGGATATTTTTGTGCATTTAAATTTTTGATAGGTACCTCAAATTGCTCCCACAATACTTATGCCAGTTTCCACTTCCATCAATGGTATATGGGTGAGGATTATCTCCTCCACCCTCAACATCCCTGAGTATTATCCATATTTTTAATATTTGCCAATATGATAGGTAAAAATGGAATATTGTGTTGTTTTAATCTGTATTCTCTAGTTAGTTGTGACTTTGGACATCTTTTTATATACTTATTAGTTATGTTTGTTTCTTCTTTTGGATATTGACCAAACATATTTTTTACCCACTTTCCTACTGGCTTTATCTTTTTCTTATTGACTTCTAGTCACTCTTCAATATTGCTAATAATTACCCATTATTGAGAATGTTATTACTATTATTATTGTTGTTGCAGTTAACATTTATTAACTATGTAGCAGGCTCTTTACATGCATTATCTCATTTGTCCTCATTTTAAGATAAAGAAACTGAGACTCAGATAGTTATGAAAAGTCCTCAAGTATAGTGAATGGCACTCTTGAACACATGCTGAGACGGGCAGTTTGTCAAAGCTGTCACAGTCTTCAATATGTATTTACTTTGTCTCAGCTATTCTCTATCCAGGAGTTTTTATTTATTTATTTTTTTGTGAGGAAGATCAGCCCTGAGCTAACATCCATGCCAATCCTCCTCTTTTTTTGCTGAGGAAGACTGGCCCTGGGCTAACATCTGTGCCCATCTTCCTCCACTTTATATGGGACGCCGCCACAGCATAGCCTGACAAGCTGTGTGTCGGTGCACGCCTGGGATCTGAACCCAGGTCTCCAGCAGAGGAGCACGCGCACTTAACCACTACGCCATGGGGCCGGCCCCTATCCAGGAGTTTTTAATACTCACATATATGAACAAAGATGGTGGGCCAAGTATGTTCATTGCAACATAGCTTGCATAAAAGACTGCAACAATCTAAGTGTCTATCAGTAGTAGACTAGCTAAATAAATAAATAATATACATGGGGGGGAAATGAGGTAGGACTTACTTATATGTGCTTAAATAGAATAATTTGCAAGATATATTGTTAAGTGAAAAAAAGCAAAGTGAATATTTCTATGTACATATATGCATAGAATATTTCTCGTGATAGCTGTTACCTCTGTGGAAGGGAAGGAGTGTAGGGTGAGAAAGAGACTTTTCTTTTTATACTTGTTTGTACTGTTTGATTTTTTCTTATTATCTTGTATGTTACTCTTTAAATTTAAAAAAAACAAATGATTCTGCAGCCCCCCAAAAAATACAAACAAAATATTTGTACACTCACGTTCATAGCAGCATTATTCACAATAGCCAAAAAGTGGAAGCAACCTAAGTGTCCATCTACGGATGAATAGATAAACAAAAAAGATGATGAAGGAGAGGAGAAGGGCAGGAAGGAAGAGGAGGCAAAAGGCAGAGGACTTAGCCAAGATAGTCAAATCCAGGCAATCTGATTGCAAATTCCTCACTACAATTTAATGCAAACAGTTTTCAGAGTTATTGAATGTATTTTCTCTGGTTTGTCACTTGTCTTCTTACTTTATTCATAGTTGCCATATGGAGTGTTAAGTTTTTTATTTGTCACGTCTTTATGACTTCTGTGTTTTGTATCTTATATAGGTCTTCACTTCTAGATTATAAAAATAATCTTATATTTTCTTCTAGTACTTGTATAGTTTTTTTAAGTATAAATTTTTAAAGTTGACACCTTTAATCCATCTGGAGTTTATTTTTACATGTTGCATGAGGCAGATATCAAACCTTATTTTTTTCCTACAAATGGTTAGCCATATATTGAAAAGTCTCCTTTTCCCACTGTTTGGAAATGCCACCTACTCTTGTGTGTGCATGTGTAGGTTCCTGGATGGTCAAGTTTCTTTCTGTTTGTTGTTTTACATATATATTACAGCTCTAATATCATGCCACTTTAATTTTCTTTAGCTTTATGTTTTGATATCTGTTGGGACAAGCCCTCTCTCCTTGTTAAAAACGTTATGGCTTTTATTGGACATTTACTCTTCAAAAGAAACTTGAAAATCAGCTTATCAAGTTTATAAAAATAAATTCCCATTGGAAGTCTTAGTAGAATTGCATTGAATTTATAGATTGATTTGGAGAGAATTGACATCTTTATAATAATGAGTCTTCCTTTACAGGCAGATTTATTCAGATTTTTTATGTCTTTCAGTAGGATTTTATAGTTTTAATTTCTATAAGGCCTTGTACATTTCTTGTACAAAAATATATTGCTAGGCAATTTATAGTTTTTGTGCTATGATGAATGAGGTAATTTCTCTCTAATGACTTCCTGTTTATAATATAAAAGCTATTTTTGTATGTTTATCTTATAATCAACTACCTACAAACAGTTCTTAACTGTTTACAAATCAAATCTCCCTAAAGACTTCTAAGCAACATTGTGTTATCTGACTTCATTACTTTATATACAAAGCAAACAATAATAATCCACCATTTTATGCGGTCTAAAATAGAGGTTTTATAGCACTCCATTAAGCCCTTCGAACTCCTATAACCTCCAACATGATACTATTCACAGAACAGATACTTACTTTTTTGTTTTCAGTACTCATAATGGTTTGTTGACCTCAAAGAATCATAAACTTCAACAGCTGAAAGGAACCTTAGAGAATTTCTTGTCCAACATCCTCATTTTTTTTCCTTTTTTTTATTGTAGTAAAATACATATAAAATTTACCGTGCTAACCATTTTTAAGTGTACGATTCAGTGACATTAAGTATATTCGTATTATTGTGCAACCATCACCACCATCCATCTCCAGAACTCTTTTCATCATGTAAAACTGAACCTCTATATACATTAAACAATAACTTCCCATTGTCCCCTCCCTCCAACTCTGACAACCACCATTCTACTTTCTGTCTCTATGAATCTGACTACTCTTGGATACTCATATAAGTGGAATCTTACAGTATTTGTCTTTTTGTGACTGGCATTTTTCACTTAGCATAATGTCTTCAGGATTCATCCATGTTGTAGCATGTATCAGAATTTCTTTCCTTTTTAAGAATGAATAATACTTTATTATATATAAATATGTATACCAATTGTGTGTGTGTGTGTGTATATATATACATATATGGCATACAGAAATATATATATACACCATATTTTGTTTATCCATTAATCCATGATGGACACTTGGGTTGTTTCCATCTTTTGGCTGTTGTAAATAAAGCTGCTATGAACATGGATATCCAAATATCTCTTTGAAACCCCGCTTTCAATTCTTTTGGGTTTATGCCCAGAAGTGGGATTGCTGGATCATATATTTTTAATTTTGGAGGAACTGTCAAACTGTTTTCCATAGCATATGCACCATTTAACATTCCCACCAAGAGTGCACAGGGTTTCAATTTCTCCTTATCCTTGTCAACACTTGTTATTTTCTGTTTGTTTGATTGTAGCCTTCCTCATGGGGGTAAGGTGGTATCTCATTGTGCCAACCTCCTCATTTTACAGAGTAAGAAACTAAGAGAAATGATTTGTTCACAAGCAGCAGCAGACTAGTTTGCTAAATGCCTGTTCACTCAATGTTCCGTTCTCCAAAGGGCCAGTTTATTGAATGACAGATTTCACTGAATTGATTGACACAAACTTAGCCAGGTTTTACTGATTGATAGTCACCAGATTGCTTCACCAAAATCTTGTCTTTATTACCTACTTACAAATATATAGAAAATTGTGTTGCTGGAATGGTTTCAACACCTTTTGCAATTTTCTTTAAGGTTTTTTTTGTGTGTGTGAGGAAGATCAGCCCTTAGCTAACATCCATGCCAATCCTCCACTTTTTGCTGTGGAAGACTGGCCCTGGGCTAACATCTGTGCCTATCTTCCTCCACTTTATATGGGAGGCCGCCACAGCATGGCCTGACAAGCGGTGCCTCAGTGTGCGCCAGGGATCCGAACCTGGGCCGCCAGCAGCGGAACGCGCGCACTTAACTGCTACGCCACCGGGCAGCCCCACTTTAAGGTTTTATTTAGTGTTAATTTACTGCAGCTGTTTCATCTCAGCTGTTGGATTTGTCAGTCCATCTTTGTAGAATGTCGGTTTCATATTTTAGACACTGATTACTCCTTAGATGATTAAAACCCATAAAAATAATAATCTAATTGAGCTGGTGAGTGAATCCTTATATTCAGGGAAGCACAAAAGACAGTGGAATAGATTAAAAATGTATTGAAAGAGAGAACTACACCCTGTACATCCAAAATCTATACACCTATCTTATAATCTATTGTAAGTCAATATGCATAAGAAATTCTCATTCCACAAAGCCTTATTCCCAAGTAAAGTCCTCAAATGCACTGAAATTTGGTTATGGCAAAACAGCTGCATTCAAATGGCTGAAAGCTCAACTAAAACTAAATTAATACTTCAAATGAGTGAACAAAGCATCACAGACATCTTCAAGTTATCCCATCTAAAGAAATTTCTATCCTATCCTATCTAAAATGAATTGCTATCATTTTTGAGTAGTTAATTTTTCAGTAAATCAGTAAAGAGTAAATTCAGCAAATTGGCTATTTGGAGAATTGATCAAATTGGCTATGTAAAAATTGACCAAGAGTCCTCATCTCCACGTGTAAAATGATACTAAATAAGTGGCAGAACCTAGAATTGAGCCTAAATCTTCTAATCAGTATTTAATCAGTATTTTTTCTGCTACCTCACACTTTCTAAATTGGAGAAATGAGATGGATGGGGATGCAGTGCAATGAATATGTATGCACTAAAGCTTAAATTATCTGAAGACTTATTCCCCTCTTCTGAAAGATATATATGATACACTAATTAAATCCTTTGGGAGAAGATATCAGAGTACTAGCTCAGGGGGTTTGGTGAAATCACAAAGTTCTGACATAAGAGTGCCAGGATGGACTGATTTAAAAGTTTCTTTTACTTTGAAACTGTTGTTTGTTCTACTCAGAAAGTTGAAACTAAGATGAATTGTGGGAGTTGGAATGGCACACAGAAATAACTCAGGCCACTCCATTCTCAGCTTTTCCCCTTGGTTCCACCAGTATGGAAAATGCATTAAGAATCTTTATCCAGGGAACATTTATTCTCTCTATATTCTTTGAAGGGGCAGTTACCAGGACACAGACCTGGGCCTCACATTCTAGCCATTACCATGTGGATGTAGGTAAATTCTTTTAGTTTTAGAGGGGATTGAGCATTTAATTGATCCTGCCTAGTATTTTTTTATTTTTTAAAGAAGAAATAATCACTACATTTTATCTTATGTGTATAAAGGAAGGAAAAGTATTTGTGCCATCTAGCATTTAAGAGAATGATATAATCTTTATACTATAAGGGAAAAACTGTGGGTTTTAAAGTGAATTTTATACATCAAAAAAATAAGACGAATTGATGAATAGGTAGAGGGATGGGTAGATGGACAGATATGTGATGGGAAAATAGTAGTAAAAGGTTAATAGTAGAATCTGGGTAGCGGATATATGGATATTTACTATAAAATTCTTTTGACTTTTTTTATGTTTGAAAGTTTCCATAATATTTTTTAAAGCCTAAAATTTAGAGCTAGCTCTACTATTTAATAGCACTGTAATCTTCGAAAAAGCCCTTAATCTCTCTATAATTCAAATCAAATAACCTGCTTTGCCTATCTTTAATATTATAAGGATCAAACAATATATTGTAGACAGAAGTAATCTGAAAACTATACCATTCAATAAAAGTGATAAAATAGTGCTATTATTTCTTCTTTTGGTGATTTCAGTAGCTATTCTTAGTTCAGATCAGTTTGGAAAGAGGAAGAAAATGTTCTACTTGGCTTTCTTAATGAGAAAAAACTCCCACACAGCCTTCAGCTCTCCTGCCAGTGGACAGGTGGGTCTCAGTGCTCTCTGAAGGCCAGCGTCTCTATGTTTGTAAGGAAGGGGCAGAGGGAGAAGCTTAAAAATAAGCGTGTAAATCAAATGCTTTCTTTTTCAGGAAGCAGTAGGGGACACGTTAGAAGAACTGTGGATCTCCTACAATTTTATTGAGAAGTTGAAAGGGATCCATGTAATGAAGAAATTGAAGATTCTCTACATGTCTAATAACCTGGTGAAAGACTGGGGTAAGCTGAGGCTGGCTCTTTGCTAACCCTCTACCTCCTATCTATGGGAAATAGCCCAATATGAGCAGGGTGCAAAATGGGAACATTTCTTTCTAAGCACAGAGGGAAATAACTATAGGAGTTGCTATATTTCAGCTCAGTGCTTGAAATTCACATTTAAATATTTATTTAGAATGATTATAATTGAATAGATCTTGGTCATATTAATCATGAAAAAAATTTAAATTATTATCCAAAGGCTGAAAAGAATCAGTTTAAATTTAATAATTCTTGGATGGCAGACATATTTGACATCTATATTGCTTTGCTTTTTTGTGTGTGTGTGTGGAAGATCGGCCCTGAGCTAACATCCATGCCAATTTTCCTCTTTTTTGCTAAGGAAGACTTGCCTTGGGCTAACATCCGTGCCCATCTTCCTCCACTTTATATGGGACGCCGCCACAGCATGGCCTGACAAGTGGTGTGTCGGTGCGCGCCCGGGATCCAAACCAGCGAACCCCGGGCCACCGAAGCATAGCGCACGCTCTTAACCGCTTGCGCCACTGGGCCGGCCCCTTGCTTTGCTTTTTTATTGTACATTATTCATTCAGCATTTACTAAAGCCCTATTATGTGCGGTGAACTATGCCAGGCTCTTGGGATACATGGTTGAATAGGACACTATCCCTACCCTTAAGGAGTTCACAGCTTAGTGGGGAAGATTAGTTTATAAGTGAATAATTGTAAAACTGTGTGATAAGTTCTGCAGTAGAGGCTTGAATGAATTGCTTTAAGAATGCAAAGACAAGGGAATGGGTAGAGACAAAAGCAGTTTAGCTTAGCGCATACTGATACGGTACAGCATAGAGAAGACCTGTCACTGGAGATTGATTTGCTGTTCTTTTTGATTCTGAACCTCATTTCCTCTTCTTATCCCATCCTTAGGCTAGCATAAAGGTAGAAGTATGTCTTGTTTTCCCTCTCTTTCCATATGTCTTCAGAAATTGACTTCATGTGGTATAACTTCCCTTACTTCCTTCAAAATCTTAAACAGTGAATTGTTCTGAACAGTCACAAACTGAGGGCTAGTGATATTGGAATTTAACCCCCAAAATCATAGCAGTAAAACTTGCCATTCTAATATGGAATGTATTCTTTGTATTTGTAGCTGAATTTGTGAAGCTGGCAGAACTGCCATGCCTGGAAGACCTGGTGTTTGTAGGCAATCCCTTGGAAGAGAAACATTCTGCTGAGGGGAACTGGATTGAAGAGGCGACCAAGAGAGTGCCCAAACTGAAAAAGCTGGATGGTGAGTGACCAAGACAGCTTGGAAATGTTTTCTAGGTATAAGAATTGAATTTGTGACATGGAATCATGAAAAGGAGCAAAACTAAAGAAAATGGTAGGTTTTGTCTAATCTCCAAGGCCACTTCTGTTCTTAGGAAATTTTATGGTCCAGATTTGGGCCAAGGTGAGAAGAAAAACTCCTAGGATACTTAGCCTGGTATAAGATCATCCATAGACCAAAAGCTTATAAGAAAGGTGGGTTCATTCTCCACTCACAAAGGTGAGTAATAATAATAAATAAGGTTTTGCAGAATAATTAGACATAAATGGTAAGCAGTTACTTTTTCACAATTGGATCAAAATTGTGTTCATTCTCCCACTCCCCTAATTTTAGTTTCCCAATGTCTAAGATAGGTGTCACTGTCAGTAGATATCCCTGACTGACTAGGTTCAAGTCCCAGTTCTACCACTTAATAGTTTTTTGTCATTGTGCTAGTTAATTAATCTCACCAAACCTTGTTCTCTTGTAATCTAAAAACTGGAAATGATAATAGTCACAGACATCTCTGGGTCCTGCCTCCTCCCAGGCCAGGATTCCGACTGTCTAGAACCCACAGACTTCCCTCTTTTCTGCCAGCCCAGAGAAATATCTTTCTCATCTGAGAATTACCATCCCCCTGCTTCTTTTCCACATCATTCTGCAACTTCTCACAAACTGTCTTCTCAGTGGTCTTCTTTGGCTTTTCAAAGACAAAAGCCAGTAAGTCTTGATGGTCTGTTTCTGCTTTCCACACTGCCCCTGAAGCAATGATGCACAGAGCTGACTAGCCTACCTGATTGAATGGGGGAAGGGAAAATATTTAGAAGAAACAAATAAGTAATATCCAGCTACGTTATAATCCTCATCATCATCATCATCATCATACCATGTGCCAATTGCATATTTTCCTTATTGTCTTCATCATCGTACTCATACTGATATTCACATTCAAAACAAAAGGACTTAGTTGTCTATCGTTGAGGCTTCCTTGTCCCTCAACCCTTTTCTTCCCTTCTCACCACCCCTGCTGCCCTGCCATTCTATCCTCCGTATTCTGTGTCTCTCCATCTCTCCCTTACCACCTCTATCTAAAGCTCAGTATTCAACCCTTTTATCCACCCGAGCTTACTATGGTGGTTGTTCTTAATGGGGCTGCAACCCTGTGGAGGGATAGCTCATATCTCTGGAGACAGAGTGAAAGAGGTCTATATAGTTTGAAAAAGTTTTACAGATGATTCTGATATGCCTCCCTGGAAGAGATGTGCTCATCTGTCCTCCAATTGAGAATTGACGTAAAAGGCTCTTACATAGCTCTTTTCCTACACCAGAAAAGTTTAACAGCTTGATTGAGGTGTAATTGACGTACAATTAACTGCACATATTTAAAGTGTATCATTTCATATGTTTTGACATACATATACACTTCTGAAACCATCATCACAATTAAGAGTGAACATGTGATGGTGACTATAGTTAACAATACTGTATTGTATACTTGAAAGTTGCTAAGAGAGTAGATCTTAAGAGTTCTCACCACATACACACAAAAAGGTAACTATGAGGTAATGGATTTGTTAACTAACCTTATTGTAGTAATCCTTTCATAATATATATGTACACCAAATCATCACGTTTACACCTTAACCTTATACAGCGTTATATGTCAATCATATCTCAATAAAGCTGAGTAAATAAAGATAATATGGGGCCGGCCTGGTGGCGCAAGTGGTTAAGTGCGCGCACTCTGCTGCAGCGGCACAGGGTTCGCCAGTTCGGATCCCGGGCATGCACTGACGCACTGCTTGTCAAGCCATGCTGTGGCGGCGCCCCATATAAAGTAGAGAAAGATGGGCATGGATGTTAGCCCAGGGCCAGTCTTCCTCAGCAAAAAAAAAAAAAGAAAGAAAGAGGAGGGTTGGCAGATGTTAGCTCAGGGCCGATCTTCCTCACAAAAAAATAATAATAAATAAATAAATAAATAAAGATAATGAACATATGCATCACCCCCAAAAGTTTCCTTGTTCCTCTTTGGAATCCTGCTCTCCTGCTGCTTGTCACCATCCCTCCCAAGGCAATCACTGGTCTGCTTTTTGTCCCTATGGCTTAGTTTGTATTTTCTAGAGTTTTATATAAATGGAACCATGAAGAATGTTCTCTTTTTTTTCTCTGGATACACACCTAGGGATAAAATGACAAAGCCGGTAAATTACCTCTTGTGGGGAGGTACAGGAATAATCAGGAAGAGGCAAACAGGTTTCTAAGATATTGTAATGTTCTGCTTCCTGAATTGGGTGATGGGTATACAATCATTGGTTTTGTTACTCTTTAAATTATTTATTTTGTATTTGTATGAATGAATATTTCACAATTAAAAAATAAAATAGAAAAAAAGAGGGTAGAGACATTAGAGTCTTGGACTTCAGCCTTTTTATGTTCACCTTTGGTTGGATTCTAGAAACCATTTGAAATCATTTGTCTTTACTTCCCTCAGGATTGCACATAAGAAGTGCACCCCTCCCCTTAAGAATGGAGCAGAACCCATCATGTAGACCCTGAATAGACCAAGCCACATTATAGCCTTTTGGACCAAATATTGACCTCAGGCCAATTCAAACAGCCCCTATAAGTGGGATAGACCAGAACAGACATGGCCACAGCTGCTAACTTGCCTGTTTTTGCTCCTCTTCTGTTGCTTATAAGCAAAACTAAGGGATCTTAAAAAGCTAAAATGAAAAAGAGAGACAATACCAAATTATAGTGGGATGTGGAGCAACTACCCTGCCAAACAGTAATGTAACTTGGTATAACCACTTTGGAAAACTGGCATTATCTACAAAAATTCTACATTCATATCCCTGGTTGTTGTTAGGGCTGTCAAGTCAATTCTGACTCCTAGTGATGCTGTGTACAGCGGAGCAGAATACCACCAGGTCTTTTTGCACTGCTGCTATTTGTAGAGTTTCCATGGCCAGTTTTTTCAGAAGCGGGTAGCCAGATCCTTCTTCCTAGTCCGTGTATTCTGGAAGCTCCACTGAAACCTGTCCACCATAGGTGATCCTGCTGGTATTTGAAATACTGATGACATAGCTTTCAGCATCCCAGCAACATACAGCCGCCATAGTATGACAACTGACTGATGGGTGGTGTGGTTTCCTGACTGGGGAACGAACCCAGACCGCTGTGGTGAGAGTGCCAAATCTTAACCCCTAGACCACCAGGGCTAGCACATATCCCTTATGACCGAGCAATTTTTCTCCTAGCTGTGTACCCAAAAGAAAGGGGTATGTATGTTTACCAAAAGACATGTATGAGAATGTTCATAGCAGCACTGTTTTAATAGCTGTAAACTGGAAACAACCCAGTTGCTCATCAACAATAGAATAGATAAATAAATTATGACATTTCATACAGTAGAATATTAAACAGAAATGAAAATGAAGGAACTACAACTTCACACAACATAGATGAATCTTACGAATATAATGTTGAGCAAAAGAAGCCAGATACAGAGGGCAAACAGATGCTGTGGGGAGTACAGAGAGGTAAAACTTCTCACTGCCATAAAGAACATAAATGTTCATTTAGGAAGGATTGCAGAGGAAGAGGCCTTGAAGTTGGTTCTTAATTAAGGTTAGGGTTTAGATTGGAAGGAGAGTTGGAGAGGGCATTCCAAAATGGAGGAACTTTGTTAACCAAGAGTCCAGAGGTAAGAATGCGCAAGCTGAGTTTGAGAGACAGTGAGTTGATCAGGGGGAGTGGAAGGTGACTAGCTGAAGAGTTAAGACTGAATAGTTGATTGGGGTCAGATTGTGGGCAGGCTCCAAATGCCAAAGCTCAGAAATGAGTGGCACTGGGCCCAGTGAGCCTGCAGGTGTATTTTGTTTTCTGTGCTTGGTTCTTTTGATTTTTTTTTTCCAGTTTATCCCTAATGTTTAATATTTGGGGGATTAACGTTAAAATTCAGATTTCTGGAAACACTGGGATTGCATATTTTATTATGAAAAATGAAAGATATTTCTTTGTGTTTAACATACAAAGTTTTTAGTGTGTATAAGGCTTTGTTTTTCTGCTTAGCACATGCAGGCATTTTTATTTGCAACTCTGCATTTGAGGAGCCAAATATTCAGAATACTTATATTAATCCATTTCAGAATTCTCCTGAGAGGCTTTTTGGATAATTTGAAATTAAAGAGATTATTTTATAAAATTATTTTTTTATGGCACACTTCACAGCATCTCAGAGCTTCTCAGGTTAACAGGAAAATATTTCATTTAGAATTTTAACAATCCGTTGAGAATGACCAGAAATAATTTTCTTTTTCATTTTAGGTACCCCAGTAATTAAAGAGGATGAGGAAGAAGATAACTAACACCATGTTTTCTGCTTTGTGTTAACTTATTTAAATGTCATAAGAGTGATAGATAAGTTTTGTATAATTATATATTTTAAAGATTCTGTGTGGGCGGAACATTCTTAAGGTAAAAAAAATCTCTCATTTTTTTCCTTAACCTATTCAGTGTTTCTCCCCCAAAATGGTAACACCAACTTTGTATATTCTAGTCCTCTTTTTACAAACTACAAACTTTTGATTTTTGTCTTCAGTCCCAGTTATGTGCTTCGTGACCCCACCTACTGAAAGCTTTATAGACCAGTCATTTTTAACAACAAAGGAACAAATGTGGTTCTTTATTCAGTTTGTTTAGTTTTTTTTTCAGGCCAGGCATTTAAATGCATGTACTTAACCTTTGAATCTGTAGACCGTCTTTCCTGAAGGTCCATCTCCTTATGACTCAGAAGCACAAATGTGTCATGCCTTTGGTTCAGAAGGCAGCATGGTGATGGGAAGAGTTCCTCTTAAAAATACAGCAGCAGCCCTCGAACCAAGACTCCAAAGTCCACTTGGAAAAGTTATGGTGAAAAAAGGAAAAATTAGTATCTTGGAGGCCTTATAGCCCATGTTATATTTACTTATTTGTTTTTCCAAAAGTATGCGTGTTGTCAACTGGACTTTAGGTTGTGTTTACATGCATGGCCACTCGAGTCACTGTGCACAGTCCAGTCAGTCATTCTGTGATTCAGATCAGTGGTTAAAATAACTGTCATGATCATTCCTTTGACCAGTATTGTGGCCATGTTACTCATGTGGACCTGATCTTAGGCACACTTTTAGGTTTATAGTTCCTTATATGTTATATAAGGAAATATGTATAAGCAGTAGTTATATTTGAATTCCTAGCCTAAATGTTGGCCATTCATATAAGTCAAAATTTGCCCTAATAACTTTGGTCTGTTGACCATGATGTTGGGAGAAGTGATTGTTATAAGGGTATAGATCTTAAAGACTGGATTTGATACCTTTCAATAAATGAAATTTAGTATTTCAAAATATATTTTTAGAAAAGTTTTAAGTTAAACAGCTCTTAAAATGAATTATGTAAGTGATTGTGAAGGGAAAAGAGAAGAGATGTTTCATTATGGGATCCTAGACAAATGGCAGTCTTTTTGAGGATTGCCTCCTCTGTAAAGCATTGTAGGTGATTTAGCCTCAAAATTGCAAAGCAATAGTTGGATGCAGAGTTTAGAATTTATTGTGTAAGAAAAAAAATTCTTTTTGGAAAGTGCAAGCTATGGCAGTCAGTAAGCAGATGAAGGCCATAGCAGGCCGTGACCGAATCACTGATAGATTACGGGAAAGAAGTCAGAGGCCCTCTGCCAATATGTGCCTAAAGTCCCTCAACCAGAGACTGTTGATTCGTATTTCCCCATTTACATGTGTAAAATCAGTCAAAGAGGGGAGTCATTTTAAAAAAGTGATTGCATAAGTAGCCTTGGCTTTCAGAAGTTTTCAGCTATCATTTAAGTAGGAATTACATGATTTCTCTGGGTCACTCTGATCAAAAGGGATCACTGCTTCGACAATCAATTCTAAATACAAACAACAAGAGGGAAAATTAGTCTAACACTTTTTTAGCTTCCTTTCAGCTCTTTCTTACAGTCTGATAGAAAGAAATCTTTACTCTGACTGGCTTATACATTCAAAGCCTCTGGGTATTTGTTTTGTGAACCAGGGGCAATGAGCATTCCCCTTGGTGATGTTGAAGGCCCATTAGCTAAGAGGGAAGACGATCTTTACTTGTAGTTTGCACTTCATCTAGTAGGCATCTAAGCCATATTGCTATGTATGGATATATTTTCTAAAAGTTATTCTGGAAGTGAATATAGTAATAGGGAATGGATGATTTCATATTGAATTTATTTGTAAAATGGCTTACAGTGTTGGTGTTTGGTTTTCCTGAATTCTGTAATATAGAAACTAATTTTCTCTTTCTCCTTATTGCTTAATGTCTTTTAATCACTGGTAGTTCTCAGAGAAATGTGAGAAGCTTTTCTGTGTCCATTTCACACAAAATTCATATTCATTTCCACTCAGCAAATATTTGAATGATTTCTGTGCTTCCTTTTCGTGGAATTAAAGCCAGAATCCATGCCATTAGAAAATGGAAGATAGGGTGTATGAAGAAGTTCAAAATATTGTCTTAAAATAATTCCTTAAATCATCCTTTACTGCTGCAAATATAGCTGATATTAAATGCCTTTGGTTTATGCTTCTTGGATTAGATATTTGACCTACTTGGAATGGATTCTCTCTGTGCTCCTGGTTTAAAGTATTATGCCATTTTAATGGATTGTTTAAATTTCTTCTATTCTTATAATGATGGTAGAGCTCTGGAGTCAGTCCAGTATTTTAATTTTTGACAGAAAATTTTATTTCAGTTGACCAAGGAATCCAGCTTTTCTATGTTCCCTAACTCTAAGCTTATGGCTGTGTTACCTGATCAGGCCTGGAAAGGTTTTTTTGTTCCCTGTTAATAGGAGTTTGTTCCTTTAAACCAGAATTTCTCAGCCTTGGCACTATTAACATTTTGGGCTGGACAATGTTGTGGGGGGCTGTCCTGTGTATTAATAGGATGTTTAGCAGCATCTCTGGCTTCTACTCACTAGATGCCAGTAGAACCCCCTTCCCAGTTGTGACAACCAAAAATGTCTTCAGACATTGCCATCTGTCCTGTGGGGCAGAGGAGTGGGAACAAATTTGCCCGTGGTTAAGAACCAGTGCTTTATACCAAGATTCCTTTTGTCCGGGGTCTATTTACTCTCACTCTGTAGCCATATGCCACCTGAGTTGTATGAGAGAAGGTGATGTATTTAATAATCATGGATGGAAGGAAATGGTCACTGGTGTTTCCCTTTTTTGTAGTGTTCATTTTAATAATTTTCACATAGCATTAGAAACTCAGGGCTGGAAGGTTCAACTGATTTTATTCTCAACTTTTATTTCGTAGCATTCTTGCTTATCTTAGGACAGTGATTATTAACCTACCTCTCTCTTACTATCAACAGAATCTAACTTTATGATAGATTTTGCTTTGTCTCTAAAGTTTAACATTTTGAGTGTACTTTGGAAAATGGATCATCATTCTTCAAGTGTTCATTCATTGTCGAATAATACATAGAATTTTGCAGACTGTAGCAGTCATTAAATACAGAAAAAATACTGTATAAAATTTGGTCATTATATATGAAAGTTAGCTGGTATAGACACCAATTTTGGATGTGATTAGAAGTATGTCTGCTCATGATAACTGCTCAATAATTTGATATGGTTGGTGGATCCATTCCACAAATAGAGGGTATAAGACACTTAAATGTGGTTCCTGTGTGGAAAGAGAAATTTTGACTTGAATAGGTACTTCTTCTGATACCTTTTACTAGTGGTCTGAAGTAGAATAAGGAAGAATAAGAAATATATCTTAACTGTTGAATTATTCTCAGAATTGGTGATCTGTAAGTAGAGCTGAAGGTAGGAATCTTTGTGACCCAGAATCTTCAACTTGGGTTTTTCTTAGGACTAAATGGAAAAATGTAGTGCCTAGAAAGGTTGGATTTAATCATTAACTTAAAAAAATTAGGAGGAAATGTCAAAAGCATCAATCATGAGTAGTTAGTGTCTCTAACTGCAGTCTGACTGTCATTTCACAAAGCCCTTCCATCAGAAGTGTTGGTAAAGGGAGAGGACTGACTGCTGAACTGAAAGTTATCCTTTACCAGAAACTAATTCCTTTGGCACACATTGTCTTTATTTGGGCTGCTTAATGTGTCTGTAAATAATTAAATATAAAACGAGATTCAGTGTAGCAGAGTTGGTACTTCTGACACTGCTAACTTGAGCATGTTCCTTTATCTTCACTCTAGCATGAGATGTTTTTCTAAACCATAAAATAGGTGCAATAAAAAAATTAAGGATATGTTTTAAAAAATAAATCACTAAACTTTTAGAAACCCCTCATCTATATCTCTATTTCTGCCTTTTTATAAACCAGTGACTGCAAAGGAAGAAAACTGAAGGGAAAAACTAGACTGAGTCTTACCTTTACCTGACCTAAGGTAAATTTTCACTTGACACTTGTGGAAGTCATAACTGGATTCTAGTTCATTTCCCATATTGGCAGATTAGAGGGGAACCAGCCAACCAAATTGTGATCTAGCAAATTTAACAAGGGGGTGGGGGAGAGTAAACTATTTTTCAGTAGATGTGCACTTTAAAATTATGAACTGGATGTTGGTGGAAAGTATCCAAAAGGGCAGATGGATAAATACCTAGCCTGCATGTGGATATTAGAGAATCAAACCTCATCCTTGTTTGTTCTAAGCCCACCTGAGCAGTAGTTGTCTGTTGACATAATCAGAGTCAGGATTTCCCTATTTCCTACTTGGTGTCATCTTCCATGTCTGCTGTATTGACAGGCATGCCTCTGGGGGATGTGTCAAGTTGAATTCTACTTGGAATAGAAACTTTGTGAGTTATCTTTCCCACATCTAGATTTTTTAAATTAATTTAGATGTTGGCTAAATTAAGTTGTAGCTAATGTTATGAGGGTGGGAAGTTCTTTGCTTCTTTAATTAGCAGGGTACCTGCCTCTGAGGTGCTATTGCCTAGAGGGATCAATCCCATCAAAAGACTGGTGAGTTGGTAGCTGTGGAGAATATACCTATAGCCAGCTACTTCTCCCAGGTTGTCAGGCATGATCACAAGCATCATTCCAGAATCCTTGGCTTCTAGAACTAACTCCATTCTGAAGAACATTTTAACATCTATTAATACTTTGGTAATAATCTTTTATATGCAGGAATTTTGTAGCCTGACTTTATGACTAAACTTATTGTGTTAAATTATTTAGAAATGTTGAGTTTCTGAATGTTATTTTGTGAGACTTGTTTTCAAATAGTAATAAATTGTGTTATTTTATAAAAAAATTAATTTGAATCTTTTTTTGGTTACATGACCATTAGTTTTAGCTAATATAGAGCAACTATGTGAAATTCCAATGATATTTGGTTCTGAAGAAATTCAGTCTTTGGATGACATATTCCACATAGCTTGTGTGTGTGAGAGAGGGGGAGGGTGAGAGAGAGAGACTGACTCATTTCTTTATGCTAAATTTTTTTTTCAGTAGTTTACTACCATGGATAATCTCATCTCCCAGGTTTGTAAGTCTTCCCCAGAAGTTCTCTGGGCACCATTTCAAATGATTAGGATCCTGGAAAGAGTGCTTCCAGGGACAGCAAGTTACTACACTTTGCCATTTCTAGTCCTCTCCTTACTTCCAGAAGTGTTCAAGATTAAGACTGGCTGATAGGCCCTTGATTTGTGGGCTGGAATAACCTGATGTTGACCAGCCCCTTTTTGGTACACGAGAAACAGGAAGAACCCAGCAATAGCAGTAACATTATACATTTTCCCAGCACATATTCTGTGCTATCAGCCAAACGTAATTTTGGTCACCAAATGGAACTTGAGTGCAGTTTCTACTTCTTTATTCCACAGTTCTTTGGTTATGAGGGTGTGTTTCTTCCTGCTGTCCTCCTTTAAAAAGCAGATTTTAATTTCTCAGCCTATAAAGAGAAAAGCCTTAATTCAGATCATAAATAGCTCATTATTATTTTTAGTTCCTTGTTTTCTAGAACAAAGGATGGACGCCTAGAATCCTGACATTATTTTATACCATATATATGTATTGTATTAAATACATATGTATGTATATGTAGATATACACAATTGTTATATATAATGAAAGAATCGCAAGTGATGAGCCTACTTCCTAAAATGCAATAAACTCTGCAGCTATAATAAGAAGGTGTATCCATATGTTCAGACATAGAAGGATGCCCACGATTGGTGAGAAAGTGAAGAACCCATTATTTGTTTTTGTTATCAATGTCATATGTATGTGTGTTGAGTGGGAGTGTGTACATATATGTGTGGCTGGTTGGTGTGTGGTGGCAGTGGGAACATGTGTATGTGTGTGTGAAGAAATAGAAATGTACAGTAGGGGTGGGAGACTGGTGTAGTGTATGTGTGTGGTGGGGGGAGGGAGTATGTTTATGATGGAGGGTTGGGGGTAAGGTGGGAGTGAAGGTGTGAAGATAGGATTGTGAGAGGTGAGGGGAGTGTGTGTGTACCCAGCATAATACCACTGGGAATGGAGGGGAAATGGGGACATGTTTATGGGGGAAAGTGAAGATTTGCATATCTGTAGTGGGGGTCACATATGTGGAGATGTGTGTGTTGAGAGAAGAGAGTGAGAGGGAGGAACAGACATGGGAAGTAAGGACGTGAGAGAGTGTACAGAGAAATCTGTTAGAACATGTACCAATAAATAGATTTTTTTACCTTATGATTATTGCATAGGTCGGGCTATAATTTTAAAGCCTTGTTACTAGGTAGAAACCCCACTGAAGTCTTATGTTCATGTAATCATTTCTGGATTTATTAGGATCTCAAAAGAGGGACATCTTCAGTCACTAAATCTCTGCAGCCAAATAGACATGTTATTAAGCCATATTTCTCTTTGTATATCCTCTTGATATAAAATGGCCACTCTAAAACTGAAACACTCCTTTCACAGGTAGGATGAGTTATTACGCCTGCATGGAAACAAACATTTTCAGCTGATAAGGGATTTCAAAGGGGAGAAAAAGCATTGCTCGATAAACTCCTAAACCCCATTTCAGGATTTTCTAACATGTTATATTAAGTTAATATTCACTTATGTCTATTTAGCTTTCTAACACTTGCCTTATAGAACACAGGCAAAAATTGAGTACATTAAAAGATATTGTAATTTAAACTTTCATAATATGATATAAAGCTTAAAGATAAAATAATTGAGGTTTGATTTTTTAGTGACAGGGGAAGTCTTCCTAAGAAAAGAGGATATAGATCTTAATTACACTGAAAATTTTTATATATGTCAGAAAAATGAGAAGACAATAGAATTTTTAAAATATTTTTATTCATATACATGTATTTGATAACTTCAAATTTAGAATGCTTAGAATCAGTATGAACAAGGAGAACTGTTCAATGACAAAGGTTTGAAATGGAATGGATACCGTAACTGGTTCATGCAATTTATATCTGTATCTTGAACAGTGAAAAATTCTGATTTACACAGCTCTATAATTGCAGTATTTTTCTAACACCCCATTTTATAGTCTCAGAAATCTTTTCAATCAAACTGATTCAGATGTTTAAAGATGAAAAATAAGAAATCTGCACTATAAAGTTGAATAATATCTAATTAATTCACATTTCTTTCCATTAATATAAATCAGGAACAATTTACAGTGAACATGAAAACTATTCACGATATTAGTAACAACAGTTCACATTTTTACTTAACACTTCTTGTGTTAGCCAGGCCCTACGCTAAACATCTGAACATGCAATTTCACATTTAATTACCTCGATGGGAACTGTCACAAGTTCACATGTTTTTCACAACTGATGATGATGCTACTAGGACTGCTTGCACTGAGCACTTGTGTCCAAGCCTTTACCTGGAATTATAGCTAGCATGACTCACTTGTAGCAGCTCAGGGTGTTCGCTTGCACAATTTTACTAATGTTACATAAATACGCAGACCTGACTTCCCCCCCAGAAAACAGAACACGGCTGAGTCTTTACTACTAAGAGACACACCTATAAGACAGCCCAGAGACAAGGAAAGCAGCTGTGATCCAGGTCTGCACTGAAGCCCGGTTTCCTGGGACTCAGAAGTGCCCCTCCAGGCCTAACTGCAGGAGGGCGGCCTCAGCCTCCTCCTCCTCCTCCTTGGCCTCCTCCTCGCGGATCTGCACCAGCAACTGAAAGAGGTTAGGGGCCGGCCCTTCCGCAGCCCCGGTCAGCCACAGCTGCCTTCGGATGGCCCCACTATGGTTGGCCCCGGCAATGACCTGCTCCAGACGGGCCTGGTTCACGTTATCTTTATCTATGGCCCCCTTCTCCACCACCTTCTGCAGCAGAGGCTCCAGACGAATGACATAAGCAGATAACTTTTCTCCCGGGTTCTGGTAAGTGTTCAGAAATCTGACCTGCGCATCCCTAGAGCTCTCGACGCTCCCAAACACCTGCTCAAGCGCCTTCAAGCACTCGGTGGTGGTTATCGCAGGATTGTTAGTCTTGAGGATGCGGATGACATCAGCGGCGGGGCCTCTAAGACTCTCCATCAACCGCCGCCTCTTTTCGCCATCAGACACCTGCCACTCCTCTATAACCTCATTAGTGTGCTCCAGCCAAGGATCAAAGGTTTCCTCCCCAGGCCCCGGGATGTCCCTCCCTGAGAACAGCGTCAGCTTCTTGTACCATATGGACTCAACAAGAGGCTGAATAACATTATCCAAAATATAATTCAGCATCTCCGCTGGCATATCTGGGCCTGGGGCCTGAGCGGGGTTCTGAAACCCAAGGACACGGGCAACATCTTGCACGGTCCACCCCTCTCTTGCTAGGAAGAGATGCAGCCTTTCTAAAAATTCAGCATCGGAAGTCGGGGGCTTAAAGACTACTTTCCAGACCCCTCCTTTACCCGGCATCTCCCTGGGGATCGCGGCGTAATCGACAGCGCCAGTGAGCTCTAACAAGGCTGCTTTCGCATTCTCTTCCCTCCAGAACATTCTCCCAAGCACTCGATAGGGCACCTGGGGCATCGCAGCCTGGAGGGTCTCTTCGATTTCAGCCTCATCACAGTTCACTGGGATCCCCCAGACCAGCAGGGCTCTCTGGGAGTTCACATCCATTCCCCTGCACCAGTCTTCCAACAGTGTCACCGCCATTTTCCCAACTATCAAGGACCCTAACGCTAGGAATACGGATTCGACTATGGCTCCCTTGCTCAAGGACTTAGGACAACAGCAGACACTCTCCCCCAATATGCCCGCGGGAAGCAAGATTCACGCAATCACAACAAACGACATCAGAGTCCCGCTCTCGTCCTCTCGCTGCCCCCCAAAGCCAGTGCGTCGGCGCGTTCTCGGAGCGAAGCCGTGGGGATGCTCGGTCAGTCAGTCACTCAGCCGCCGCCATCTTGCGTCTCTGGCCGGGGTCCGCGGCCGGGGTCCTCCGGCCGCAGGCAGGATGTCGCGTCGCAGCGCAGAAGGCGCGGAGCGAGGGTGGGTGGCGAAGGCAGGAGCCGCGGGGCTGGAGAGGCCGCCGGGGTGTGGTTGCGGGGCGTGGCCGCCTCCTCTGTGCAGCCGGGGCGCCGGGCACTCGCTGCTGCTCCCGGAGTCGATGAGGCGTTCGCGGTCGGAGCCGGGCTTTCAGGCGGGCGAGGAGCGGCGGCTTTGCAGGCGACGACTGTGCCGCCTCCGGAGGGAGAGACTGTCCTGATGTGCAGCGGTGGCGCCGGAGCCAGCCCGCGAGCGGCTTCTTCGTGGGTGCAGGAACCCCTCTGGGCGGCGAGAACGCGGAGGACCGAGGACACAGACAGCGGAGGCGCGACAAGGACGTAGAAGCAAGGCTAGAGGCGGCGGAAACGAGGGCGGACAGGGGCGGCCGTGCGCGCGGGCTGGCGCGGCTCGGCTACGGGCTCGTCAGACCCGGGGCCAGCCGAGGCGGGACTGCCGCAGTGGAGGGTGGGGCCGGCCCCCGAGCGGCTTCCGCCCCGCCCCGCCCCCGGGGCGGAGCCTGCCGGAGCGTAGCCATGGCAACGGTGGCCCAGACGACTGGAGCTCTGCGCTTGGCGGTGGCCCGCGGGGTGGGGGGGGGGGGGGGGGGGGGTCGAGCGGTTGCCATGGTGCCAGCGAGCGGCTGTGGGCACTGGTTTCTGTGATGGTGCATTTCGTTTTTCATTTTCCAGTTTTTTTTTTTTTTTTTTTTTTTACAAAGCACCATGTTTAAAAGATAATATAATTCTGGAGTGGATTTAAGATGATATTGTTGATAATGCATCCGTCAAGGCAGACTTGTCTACTCATGTCGCTCATTCAGCCAGTCAATGCGGCATGTGAAAATACCGCAGCTTCCCTGTGCCACCTGATCGCACTCTGCACCCTCCATATTTCATCCCAATGAAATGAAAACGTTGCAAGTGTGCCATTTACATGTTTTTGTGTGATACTGAGTTGAGACTTTCTTGTCTAAAATTTTATAAAAAGATCTGTATCTATTCAGTAATCTTTGTAGCCAGGCAGATGCTACTGTGTTATTTCCTCTGTCCTGGCATCATTGGCAATGGGCTGATAAAACAGAATCCTTATAATTCAAAAACGTCGAGTAATCCCCTGCAAGCAAAACAAGGCCTACCTACATCAATCCCAGATGGTGAAAATCTCCCCAAAGAACACAGCATTCAACTCTGATTTTTTAAAACCTTATTTAATAAAAGGTTTAAAGATACAGAAGAACATTCAAAAGTAAATAAGTTACATAGGTACATTACAATCACATCAGCAAGATTTTCTTTAGTGTATTAATTTTTTTTTATAAAAAGCACACAAAAAATAAAATCTTCAGTCTGGTCTATCACAACTGTACAGCAAAAGAGGTAATATTTATATATATGTACACTATTTTAATATGTAACAGTCTTTAAAAAAGGGTGCCACAGGCAGCAAACACACAAAAGGCAGTGTCTGATCATTTTTTTTTCAAAATAAAAGGAATATACTTATTTATATGCTATTAAAATATTTGTACACTAATTACAGACTGTCAAGGCTGTTCCTGTGCTGTCCCCTCCAACAAGGCCTTCAACTTAGAGACAAATGAGGAAAAGGTGAAACAGCTGCAAATTGTTAGTTAGAGGCAAATATTAACACAGCAAAATATGGGGAGGACATACAACTGTTTTATAAAAATATGCATACTCCCTGTAAACCTAAAGAGTTAGGCTTGCCAGTCTGGTAATAAATGCCGTCCGAGAAAAGCGAGCCCCAGAGAAAACATATTTAAACAGCTGAGGCTTGAGTATGTGTTGTATTCCTCCTTCATCTTAACATCTGGCACATAAGAAAGAGGTTAGGTCATTGAGGCAGTTTAATATAGGGGATCCCTTTAGACATAAGCAGCACATGACCTCTGTGTCAGGGGTGGAGGTGGGGTGGCAGAAGGGATGGGTGTACCTTAGCTGTGAGGGGGGCTGCTGAAGGCATGGAGGACAGTGCTGAAGCCCTGTCTCCTTGGGTGGGTAAGAGACCTCAGAAATGGTCTGGGACACAGGCACTAGGTTAGTTTCATGCCCTTAGCTGAGTGTAGATGGAGGCTGGGAGATGGATATGTGAGATGGTATGGGGAGGATATTACAAAGCTGGAGCTGTTTGTCATTTAACTTCTTAAAGCAAAGAGCTCTAAATAGAGTAAAAAAGAAAAAGAAAATACAAAAGACGAGCCTCATGTGTTCACAGGGAGAAAGCACCATAAAGGATAGACCTCTGCCAGCTTCTATGGCTGCACCCACTTTATTGGCAGGTCACTTGCCACAACTTCATCTGCCCTCCAAACATTTTAACTTGCACGTTGCATTCTAGATATAAATCCATCCTGGAGCATGAACCCTTCTAAAATACGGTCTCTGGTGAGATTAATATAGAGAGGTGCCATCTTGATTTTCTCCACCTTCATTCACCTGGTCTGGTCTCCATGAGCTTAGAAGAGGAGCGTCACTCTAGATGAAGGAGCTTTCTGTTACCACATGTCCATAACAGGGCCTGAAACTAAACACGGTTTAAATAGAAAAAACCTTGGGAAACATAAGTAGCACTTTGGGGCGAAGCTGCGAAGGCACTCATATTACACAAGTGATTTAGAAGAGAGCCTAAATTTGCTACTCTCCTGTTTCTGGAGGGCATACTAGATTTTTCCAGTCTTGGGACATCGAGCTTGTAGAAGCCTATGGAGGAAACTAACTGGGAAGCTGGAGATCCAGGAGTCTGGGGGGAGAAGAATTTTGTATTCCCATAGCTAGGGTCCTATAGAACCATATTAATGCATAAACAAATGCTGAAAGATACCTGATAGTGCATAGTTTAGAAACAAAACTCCCTCCCCACTCCCAGCGACCAACGTGATGCCTTTAGACTATCTCATAGGGAGTAGCAGAAGGAATACTTTTTGGATCCTTCCTGACATGCTCACCTGTCATATACTTGCATTCACTTAGAACTTACACAACAGAGCAAAACAATAACAGCCCTCCTATGAGACTGGCAAGTGAAGGGGCCTCCAGAACCTTCCAGCCCTTTCACTTCAGTGACTCCATGCCAAATATGGCTTCTTCAAGACAGAAACAAAACCAGAATCCTGGCTTCCAGCCAATCCCCTCAGGCAATTTGAAAGTACAGCCAGAGAAGAGGTAGCAACAAGAACTGTCTTTGCTCTCCCTTGTTCCTGCCAGTCTCTGTGCGGCTTTGGTGACACCTTCCACCTTTCCACCCTCTCTCAGTGCTACTATCATTCCTATTGACCAGTTTCCACAGCAAGGAGGTGAGGGACCTTAGAGTCTTGGGAATGGGGGGATGGGGCGGATGCCAAGAAGGTGCCTTGTTTTGGGATAAATGCACTTGGGCCTCTGGAAAGCAGGAAGCCCCTGGTCCCTGAGAGGATGTTAAAAATTAAATATTAAGAATAAATAAATAGCTCCCAAATGACATAAGTCAAGGAATGAAGGCTCCTGTCCAATCTGGTTAGGAGACCTCCCCCTCCCAGGGAAGGATCCAGAAATCTCCAACATGCAGGACTGGGGGCTAGGCTGTGGATGTCAGCACTAGACCAGGTGAACTAGGGTTAGGTGGCAGCTGCCAAGAGCAGGACAGAGGCAGGAAGGGAACTTGCACCAAGGAGGAGCAGGCTGGGCCTGGGCTAAGCTCCCTTAGCAGCCTCCAGGGCCCAAAGATATTTGGTAAAAAGGTGGGAAGCAGGAAAAGCCACAGCTTATCAAAGGCTCCCTCAGGCCTAGCCCTGCAGCTTCCATCCTCTGCACAGTTCCCTTCCCTCCAGCAGGCTGAGAGCTTGGACCGCAACACTGGCACCTTCCCCAAACAGCTAAGAAAACTTTCTAGCCCCAGCAGGCTGCTAGCAAGCAGCAAAGGGACAGGCACCTGTCCTCAGTCTTTCTCCCTCCAGGCATTCTCATAGCCTCTTTCCCAGGGGAGAGGTGGTTTCTCTGAGGACAGGGTCACTGGAGCAGCTTAGGCCTGGACATTATCGTGCAGGGGACAGCACGCCTGCCAGGCAGAGCTCCCTCTCAGGGACGGACACCACACTCCCTCGAAGGGAGTCTTTTTCCGGGGCATGGGGCAGGGCCTGTGCAGCCTTCGAGGTCCTCTGGGGAGGGGGAATAATGCTGCAAGAGGCGGGCAGAGCGGTGAGCTTGTGCTTGGCTCTCCATGGCGACCGAGGGGCGCAGGAAGAACAAAGAGGAAACGAAGAGACTGCACGGCAGCAGAGGTCCCACTGTGAGAGGCAGCGGTGGCAGCGGCTAGAGCCCCTCCGGAGGGGCAGCCCCGCGAGCAGGGACTGTCCCAGTTCCAGGAAAGCATAAGGACGACTTCTGACAGACTGAATGCAAAGAGAACTGGATCCTGCAGCCCTTAACACTGCTCCTGGGGCCTTTATAAATAAAAGAGCCGTTTATTTTATTGTCTTATTCGTTTTTCAGAGAAAAGTCCACGGGATCTCTCCTCTCTCCCTCTGGAGGCGGCGGGGTGCTTGCAGGCGCTTTGGCAGCTGGTGCAGGGAGGGCCGGGAGCCCGGGGCAGAGGCCCGCCCTGGCTCCCCGGCCGAGCCCTGGGCCTCAGCCCCTCTCGCCCGCGCTCTCCTCCCGCAGGGCCGGCTGGTGCGCGGAGGCGGCGGCCGCAGTAGCCGCGGCAGCCGCGGCCTCTTTCTCCTTCAGCCTCAGCGCAGCCGCCTTCTTCTCCTGCTCCGCGTGGCTCTTCATGTGCGCGCTGCGGCTCTTCACCTTGTAAAACACCCTGGAGCCGGGCAGGGGAGGCTCAAGTAAGAGGTCGGTCCCCACCCCGCCGTGCCACGTGAACCACCCCCACCTTCCAATTACGGGACGGATGGGTGCCTGATTCAGTGCCATCATTCCTCTTCTAAAAGCTGCCAAGTGACATCACTGCCCTAGAAACCTTCTG